CTAGGCATCCAGAGCTTTCTGCACTGGTGAGTTTCTGCACCTGGCCCATTGTCCCTGCTCTGCTCATGTCTTTCTGTCTCTGTAACACTGGTGGTCAAAAGGGTGCATCTTTTTTTTTTTTTAATTAATTATATTTATTATAAATTTCTTTATTGATTATGGTATCACATAATTGTCCTCATCCCCCCATTCCCATCCCAAACCCCTCCCCACATATGCCCACCCCCTGTTGTCAATGACCATTGGTTAGGCTTATATGCATGCACACACGTCCTTTGGTTGATCTCTCCCCCTTTGCCCCCACCTCCCCTACCTTCCCTCTGAGGTCTGACAGTCTGATTGTTGCTTCTCTGTCTCCAGGTCTGTTTCTGTTCATCAGTTTATGTTGTTCACTATTTCCCCTAAATGGGTTAGATCATGAGATACATGGAATTCCCTTATAAGGACTGAAACTGAGACAAGCCACAATGGTTATGCTAAGAGGCAAATGAATCAGTCTGTAGTGAGTTCCTTCTTGGCCAACAGTTCTTTTGAGTCCCCATTTCAATGTCAAACAGTTCCTTATGTGTACGTGTCAGCCATGGTATTTCACATTTGGTTGGTGGAAAAACGATGGTGATGCAGGTCCGACCGTCTCTGGTTTGGTCCTGGTCATCCTTCAGCGATGCACAGCTTCTGTCTGCTAGTATGGCAAGGCGTCGTCAGCATCTTCCATCTCTGAACGGTTTCTCTTCTGTCTTCATGGCTGGAGCACTCCTGTCAATTCCTCTCTGTTGCAGGAATCCACATGGTCTCGGAGTTGTTTTAGCTGCGTAATGGTGTGTCTTTGGAGGTGGAGATCCCAGTGTCCGCGGGTCTGCAGCTGGGGTAGTAGGATATTGGCTGCAGTGTGTGCTGGGTCGTGGGGCAGTTCGAAGGCCTGTCTTGTTGGTGATGTTGATGAGTTTCTCAAAAGGGTGCATCTTAAAATGATTTCCTTGATAGTAGATCAGAAACTTCATCTCACATTAAATAATAAGTACTTTATGATGAGAAATTATCATTATTGTTATCTAGGAACCTAACCCATAAACTGTCTTTAATACCTTTAGCATTGTACAGTCTTCAGCATAGACATTCACTCATATACAAAGGTGGTAATAGATAGAAAAAAATCTGGAAGGATGCACATCAAGTCATTGCCAGAGAAAAAGTTATTCCTGGCACATGGTGTAGAACAGGAAGGGAGACTTGATTCAGGGGGACCACAAAAGGGGGACTTTGCAACGAGAGAGAGATTCAATCAACTCCAAATATGAGGAAAAGTCATGATTTATATCTGAAGAGCACAGTGGGGTTTGGTAGATCTTTGCTACACTGACCTAACAGGATTCTTGCTGAAGGCAGACTAGGGTGATCAGTTAATACTTGGGAGATGGTGGAGGATGAAGAATTTGATCAGGTTTGGAGGGTTCTGTCTAAACCAACTTGACAGGATTCTTCTGAAACTGGGTTCTTGAAGGACACGCCCAAGGACGGGGCTTAGTGATGCTCACAGGACCCGAGTCAGATTTGGCCAAAGAGAGCCTTTGTCATCACTAGCAGTGATTACTTCAGGGGGGAAAGCTAGGGATTGTGGTGAAGTAAAGGGAGGGACTTAAACTTTTATATTAGCCTTTATACGTGGAGATAATTTATATCATTAAATATTTTAAGAGAGCCCTAGCTGGATTGGCTCAGTGGATAGGGCGTCGGCCTGCGAACTCAAGGGCCCCAGGTTTGATCCTGGTCAAGGGCATGTATTATACCTTGGTTGCGGGCACTAGTGGGGAGTGTGCAGGAGGCAGATGATCGATATTTCTAACTCTCTATCCCTCTCCTTCCTCTCTGTAAAAATATCAATAAAATATATTTTAAAAATATTTTAAAAGATTTTGGTAGAGAATTAATTCTGACATATTTTCAAATGGATACTATATTGATAGTATTGTAATATCCATTATCAAACTTGGAGAATCTCTACATATTTTTTTGAGAGTTGCATCTATTCTAAGAAATAATCAGCTTTTTTCCTTCTCATGTAGTAGTGAGTTATAGTTTTAGAAATAAAATTCAAATGAACAGCCTTAATGTGACATATGACATTTTGTTGGAACTAATTGCCTAGGTATGTTTAATACTAGAAATAAGTATTTGCATGTTTTGTTTTTATTATTGATGGGATTGCTTTGATTTTGAGCATAATGAAGCATTATTTGAGTCTGTGTCATTATTTCACTTTGTAGCAGTGAACATATTTTTAACTACTTATTCATCCTTTTAAACATGTAAAGGAAAACACTCAATTTGTGATTTCTAAAATAGTAGAAAAACAGACTAGAATGAACTTTTTCATGGAAAGTAAAAATAAGAAGCTAAAAGCCCTATCTATTTATCTATCTATCTGTCTATCTAGCTATCTATCTATAAAATCCTAAGTGACCATACAACCGTTCGACCGCCTGACCGGTAGCTATGACATGCACTGACCACCAGGGGGCAGATGTTCAACTCAGGAGTTGGCAAGCTGTGGTGACTTGGCAGCAGCGGTTCTCAGGTGACGTGCCTGTGAACCAGAGAGGAGGGAGCCTGATTCTAGGACCCCTCGGGATGTCGGAGAGCCAGTTTTGGCCTGATCCCCCACAAGCCAGGCAGGGGAACCTCACCTGCTGGAGGGGCCTTGCTCGCTCTGCAGATGCCCTTGGACCCGCAGTACTGCCTGCTGGAGGTTGGCCCCAGGACGTGTCTGGCCCATCTCACCCAGCCCTGCCCTGCTGGCCACCTTCTAATTAATTTCCTTCGAATGTGCATGAATCCGTGCACCGGGCACTAGTAGAAACCAGAAGACTGTGAGCAGAGCTTTCTGTGATGAAGAAAATGCTCTCTTCCTGTGCTGTCCAGTGGCAGCCACTCTGCATGAAGAGCTATGAAGCACTGAAAATTTGGCTAAGGTGACTGAGAAACTGAATTTTGAGGGATACTTAATTTTTAATTAATTTACATATAAATGGCCACATGCTAGGACTAGTGACTACCAAATCGAACAACACAGACCTACCAAGGGCAGTCCTTAGCAAAGTGTGCTGAGCAGGAGAATCACCTGGGGATCTTGTGAGACTGCAGATTCTAATCCAGTCAGTCTGGGCCGGGCCTGTGATTCTGCATTGCTAATCAGCTTCTAAGGCGTGCTGATGCCTCTGGCCCAGGGACCCGACTTGGAGAAGCAAATACCTGGAACATACTTGCCTCCATTTATTTTAGATGATCTCCTAAAAGGAAGAACCAAATTTAAAAATTCTCTCAGCACTCTAGGATTTTTCAGAGTTCTGTCACCCCGAGGCGAGAACATGGTTCTGGTGTCAGTGCTGCACGCACCCCTGGTAGCAGGCAGCCAGCCCTGCAGCCCGAAAGGGTGAGGGAGCTCCCCCAGGGCGGACGCAGGCCTGTGCAGGAAGCTGGATTTTTTTTCTTTTTTTAAATGTATCTTTTAATTTAATTTTATTGATTTTTTTACAGAGAAGAAAGGAGAGAGATAGAGAGCTAGAAACATCAGTGAGAGAGAAACATCAACCAGCTGCCTCTTGCACACCCCCTACCAGGGATGTGCCCGCAACCAACATATATGCCCCTGACCAGAATCGAACCTGGGACCTTTCAATCTGCAGACCGACGCTCTACCACTGAGCCAAACCGGCTTCGGCTGGATTTTTTTTTTTTTTTTTTTTTTAATCAATCTTTATTGTTCATATTATTACAAAGGTTCCTCATTTCTTCCCCCCTCCACCAGGTTCCCACCCCACCCTCCGTCCCCCCCCCATTGTCCTCTTCCATAGGTGCAGTTTATGTTCAGTCTCTTCTTCCCTCAATTTCCCCAATAGTAAATCCCTTTTCAGATAGTAAATCAGTTATTTAGCATTTTCTCATGTCAATAATACCTCCACATGCCCAATGATACACTTCACACAAAAGACATTTCCCTCTAGGTCAACCAGCCTCATCCAGGCCCCACCCAAGGCACTCACAGATCAACACCCCAGTCCTAAACTAACTCAACACATCCAGATCTAAGCCTTCATCACTTGATTCAGCAGACCCTCAAGTTCCCACGAAAGTTTCCAGCCATGTCTGAGAAGCAGCCGTGGGGCAGGGGCAGGCAAGGAGCGAGCTGTTCTGGGCCTGGCTGCTCAGGGCCTGGCCTCTGTTGCTCTGGTTCATTCCACAATCAGCTGCTCCGGGTCTGGTCACTGCTGCTCCCGACCTAGTTGCTCTGGACTTGGTTGCTGCTGCTCCGGGCCTAGCCGCTCCCAGCCTGGCAGCTGCTGCTCCGGGCCTGGCCGCACCCGACCCGGCTGCTCCCCCGGGCCTGGCCGCTCCCAGCCTGGCAGCCGCTGCTCCGGGCCTGGCCGCACCCGACCCGCCTCTCCCCCGGGCCTGGCCGCTCCCAGCCTGGCAGCCGCTGCTCCGGGCCTGGCCGCACCAGCCCCGCCTGCTCCCCCGGGCCTGGCCGCTCCCAGCCTGGCAGCCGCTGCTCCGGGCCTGGCCGCACCCGACCCGCCTGCTCCCCCGGGCCTGGCCGCTCCCAGCCTGGCAGCCGCTGCTCCGGGCCTGGCCGCACCCGACCCGGCTGCTCCCCCGGGCCTGGCCGCTCCCAGCCTGGCAGCCGCTGCTCCGGGCCTGGCCGCACCCGACCCGCCTGCTCCCCGGGCCTGGCCGCTCCCATCCTGGCAGCCGCTGCTCCGGGCCTGGCCGCACCCGACCCGGCTGCTCCCCCGGGCCTGGCCGCTCCCAGCCTGGCAGCCGCTGCTCCGGGCCTGGCCGCACCAGCCCCGCCTGCTCCCCCGGGCCTGGCCGCTCCCAGCCTGGCTGGGCTGGATTTTTTCATTATGCTTGCCATGTAAGGTCAAAAGGAATCTTAGGGTAAAGGTACTTACTTCAACATTCCCACTTTTTCTAAAAGAAAAAAAAAAATACTTTTCTTACAGGTTTTGTGTGTGAAGAAGCTGAGTGGAAGGCTGAAATGCTATCAAGCACATTTTTACAGCACAGTGGCGCCACCTGATGGTAAGCTTCCAGAGCAGGTCTTTGATTCCTATGCTGATTTATTGCTATTCTTTCAAATCAAACGAGAGGGTGAGTTTTGAACAAAACAGACTTTTCTTGCATCCCACCCCCAACCCCACCCCGTGCCACCCCGCATCTGGCTCCGTTCAGTTCCTCCCTTTCTGTTCCCCTGACATCTCTGATGTCTTTCGGCAACCCTCCCAATCCCTCCAGCACTCAGAACAGTTGGGGATGAATGAGAAACATTTCTTCCCTCGAAAACGTAACTCTTTAAGACTCTAAGGTAATCGTAATAAAGTGTGATATGTGCTATGATAGAACATCATAGAATGGTAGGGAAATCTGTAAACTGTCATTTGGTGAAGGCAGTATATGCAAATGATGACAGGAATTCAGAGGCTTATGAACACATGGCCAAGCATTCCTTTTAGAGGTTTTGATTTTTAAAGTTATCTTTATAAAAAGTAAAATTTATCTGTTTTTTGTATTGTCTTTTTTTTTCCTTAACAGAAGTAACAGTTAGTTACAGACATGGCCTTCCCTTGATTACACTCACGTTGCCATCCAGAAATGAGCGCTGCCAGTTTGTGGTCAAACCCATGTTATCAACAGTTGGTTCGTTTCTTCAGGACATACAAAATGAAGATAAAGGTATCAAAAATGCAGCCGTCTTCACCACAGGTATATATGTCTATATATTTTTTTTTCAACTTCGTCTTTTTCTCTTTTTCCTTTGTTTTGCTTCTTTACTTTCTAAGGAAGAAATTGATTCTTTAATTATATTTCCATCCCCATTTATCCCGACTGTACACTTCCCACCGCCGCCCATCGCAGTCACCACACTGTTGTCCGTGCCCATGAGTTCTTCCTCTTCTTTTTTTCTTTTTTTTGCTCAATCCTTCCACCTCCCACACAACACCTCCCCACCAAAGTTGTCTGCCTGCTCTCTTTCGACGAGCCTGTCTCTGTTTTGCCTGCTAGTTCAGTTAATTAAATTCCACATAGGAGTGAAATCACAGGTACTTGTCTTTCTCTGACGGGTTTATTTCACTTAGCATCATGATATCCAGGTCCATGCATGCTGCTGAAGAGGGTAAACTTTTCTTTCTTCTTACAGCTGAGTACTATTTCATTGAATAAATGTGTCACACTTTTTTTTTTTTCCTTAATTTTTATTGTTCATATTATTACAAATGTCCCTTCCCCCCCTTCCCACCCCACCCTCTGCCCTTTCCCCTCCCCCATTGTCCTCATCCATAGGTGCACAGTTTATGTTCAGTCTCTTCCCACATCCCCCTCTCCCCTTTTCCCCAAGAATCATCAGTTCACTCCCCTTCCATACCTCTGATTCTATTATATTCAACAGTTAATATTGTTCATTAGATTTTTTTTTAATTTCCTTGGTTTTTAGATTCACTTGTTGACAGTTACGAATTTGTTGTTCATAATTTTTATCTTTATTTACTTTCTCTTCTGAAAGAACCCCCTTCAGCAATTCATATAATTCTGGTTTGGTGTTGATGAACTCCTTTAGCTTTTTTTTATTAGTGAAACTCTTTATCTGACCTTCGAATCTGAGTGATAGCTTTGCTGGATAGATTATCTTTGGCTGTAGGTTCTATTCATCACCTTGAATATTTCTTGCCATTCCCTTCTGGCCTGCATGGTTTCTGTTGAGAAGTCAGCTGACAATCGTATAGGTGCTCCTTTATAGGTAACTACCTGCTTAGCTCTTGCTGCTTTTAATATTCTCTCTTTGTCTTTTGCTCTTGGAATCTTAATTATGATTTGTCTTGGTGTGGTCCTCTTTGGATTCCTTTTATTTGGAGTTCTGTGTGCTTCCTGGACTTGTAAGTCCAATTCTTTCCCCAGGTGGGGGAAGTTTTCTGTCACTATTTCTTTCAATATGTTTTCGATATCTTGCTCTCTCTCATCTTCTGGGACCCCCATAATTCTGATGTTGGATCGTTTGAAGTTGTCCCAGAGGTTTCTTACATCATCTTCAATTTTCTGGATTCTCTTGCCTTCTAGCTTCTGCAGAGGAGTATCTTCTGGCTCTTTATGTTTCAAATCTTTGACTTGATTCTCAATTTTCTGGATTCTCTTGCCTTCTAGCTTCTGCAGAGGAGTATCTTCTGGCTCTTTTTGTTCCAAATCTTTGACTTGATTATTGCGATCTTCTATTCTGTTTTTAGGACTCTGTATAATAGTTTTTATTTCAGACAATGTATTCTTTATTTCTTGTTGATCCCTTTTCATATCCTCATAAGTCTCATTTATTTTATCAGCCTTTTCTAGGAAACTCTTGAAAAACTTTATAAGTGTGGTTTTGAACTCTATATCCAGTCGCTTTTTGTCCTCCATTTCTTTCGTTTGTGATCTATTTGGTTTAGGCATTTTCGCAGGCGGCTTTCCTGATGGGGCGGGGTTTCAGGGTGGAGCCTACAGCTTTGGCTTCCGTCAGCCCCGCCCTATGCGACTCCTGAGACTCAGGGTCCTTCAGTACTTGTTGTAAGCGCCTCTGAGAGAAAGGCGCCCTCGATTTTCGCTTGCTGCCAAACAGTCAATGCTCTCCCCCACTGAGCCCGGAACTGGGGTTCAGTTCAGTTGGAAGTGGAGTTGGAGGTGGCGTTCAGAGCAGACTGGAGCCCCTGTCTCCTTCCCGCCAGGCAATCCCGCAGCACAGCTGGCGTCCCTTCTCTGTGTGGCGCTGCCGCCAGGACCTCCTTTCGCCTCTTCCCCGGGTTCCGCCTTTCAGCCCGGCTCCCTATGGCTGAGCCTGGGTCCCCGGGGTCTGGCCTAGGCCTGGGGTTCAGAGCAGTCGGGGGCCCAGCACAGTCGGAGTTTTATCTCCTTCCCGCCAGGGAACGCCCGCCAGGCACTTCGCCTCCCTCCTCTCCGGCTCTGTCCTCTCCGCGCGCCGCGTGTCTCCGTACCTTAGGCTTTTCCAGCTCCTCCGCGCTTCCTTCTGGTTATCTCCTTGCTTCTTGTTGTAGAATTTCCAGTCAGTCGACTTTCCTGTAGTTCTGGGTGATGTCCATTTTATATTTTAGTTGTATTTTATTAAAATTGTTGCGTGCGGCTGCGGCTAGGTGCCTACCGGAGCAGCCATCTTGGATTCTCTCCTGTGTCACACTTTTTTATCCACTCATCTACTGATCCAAATCTTGCTATTGTAAATAACGCTGCATATGTTCTTTCAAATTAGTGTTTTGGGTTTCTTCGGATACATTCCCTGAAGTGGAATTGCTGGGTCACAAGGCAGTTTCATTTTTAATTTTTTGAGATGATTCTTTATATCATAAGTGGTTGGTATTCACTGAGACCTTTTAGATTCAGTAATATTAAAAAATAACTATTGCCGAAACCGGTTTGGCTCAGTAGTAGAGCGTCAGTCTGCGGACTGAAAGGTCCCAGGTTCGATTCCGGTCAAGGGCATGTACATTGGTTGTGGGCACATCCCTGGTAGGGGGTGTGCAAGAGGCAGCTGATCGATGATTCTCTGTCATCGACGTTTCTAACTCTCTATCTCTCTCCCTTCCTCCTCTCTGTAAAATATCAATAAAATATATTTTAAAAAAATAACTATTGAATAAATTTAGTGCAAGTTTTGATTACTTATTTCATAAACTTAGCCATGAGTAAATTTTATTTCATTTTGTTTTATATTTGAATTTTTATGAGTTTATTTGAGCCAAAACTCAGCCCTGAGAAAATTTTAGTGACACGGTCATCAGTGTGTAATTTTTAGCAAAACTTAAATAATATGCAAAAATGTAGTTTCAATGATTAAAATATCCAGTGAACAATTAAAATACACAAATACTTTACTTATCTTTGTTATAGAGCACTTTAAATCTAGTATGTTTTTTTGATAGAATTGGTTCTCAGGAAGAATATACTTTAAAAAATATATACACATATATATTATTGATTTTTTACAGAGAGGAAGGGAGAGGGATAAAGAATTAGAAACATCGATGAGAGAGAAACATGGATCAGCTGCCTCCTGCACACCCCATACCAAGGGATGTGCCTGCATCTAAGGTACACGACCTTGATCGGAATCGAACCTGGGGCCTTTCAGTCTGAAGGCTGATGCTGTATCCACTGAGCCAAACCGGTTTCAGCAGAATATACTTTTTTAAAAAATGGGACACTTAACAAATTTGTGTGTCATCCTTGTGCAGGGGCCATGCTTAAGTTCTTTGTACCATTCCCATTTTAGTCTGTGTGCTGCCAAAGCGAGCACTGCATAGTTTTAAAAACCAGACTAGGAGGTTAATCATTTAGACATTTTAAATTTAAAATATGGCTTTTAGCCTGGTGGGTGTGGTTCAGTGGTTGAGCGTCGACTTATGAACCGGGAGGTCACAGTTCATTCCCAGTGAGGGCACAGGTCTGGGTTGCAGAACATCATCATTGATGTTTCTATCCCTCTCCTTCTTTCTGAAATCAGTGAAAACATATTTAAAATGTAGATTTTATGTCCTTGTGATCTGACATGGCCTTAGACTTACTGCCCTTAAAATAGAATGGAGGACTGTTTATTCTTTATAAATGAATAAATTGGCATTGTTATTTTATGGTAGTATTCCATGCTTAGAATAAGCTTACTTAAAAGTTGAATACTGCTACGGTTTTGGAAAGGAAATAAACATTCTTCTCCCCTATCCAAGTTCATAACTAATAAAGGATAGATATAGAAGTTGGAAAAATCAAGGTTAATTACTCAACAAATATTTATTGAGCACCTAACTTATACCATGCACTATTCTAGATGTGAGAGGTAGAGCAAAAAAAAACTCCTGCTCTTGTGGAGTATACATTTTAAAGGGATAAATAAATAAGGTGAAGAAAAAAAAAAAAATATATATATATATATATATAAAGAGGTAACATGCAAATTGTCCAGGATGCCATAATGTCACGACCGCTCAGGAGGAGGTTGCATGTGCAGGTGGGCGGGAGGGGACTGCATGAGCAGTGAGGCAAGCCACAGATGGCACAGGCCCCGAGAGAACAGGACCTGCCAGCCACGGCGCCCTGGCGGTCCCACCTCTGCATGTGAGCTGCAGAGAAAACACCTTTTCTGACCCTCATTGACTAAGCTCCCGGCACATCTCCACTCGCACTGTTCTTGGTAACTTGCATAATAAGAATCCAAGAAGGCGATCTAGGGCTTTTCCACCTCTGCCTGGAGGAAAAAACGAAGGTCCGCTGCTGGCGGGGCTAAGAAATGCCATATCCTGCCCTAGCCGGTTTGGCTCAGTGGATAGAGCCTCGGCCTGTGGACCGCAGGGTGCAGGTTTGATTCTGATCAAGGACATGTACCTAGGTTGCAGGCTCCTCCCTGGCCAGGGCCCAGATCAGGGCTCATGCAGGTGGCAACCAATTGAAGTATCCCTCTCACACTAATGTTTCTCTCATCTTTTCCTCTCTTTTCCATGCTTTCTCAAAATCAATGGAAAAATATCCTCAGGTGAGGAAAAGAAAGAAGGAAGGAAGGGAGAGAGGGAGGGAGGGAGGGAGGGAGGGAAAGGAAAGAAAAGAAAGAAAGGAAGAAAGAAAGAAAGAGAAAGAAAAGGAAGGAAGGAAGAAAGAAAGAAGAAAGATGTCATATCCTATGAAAGAGACATCTTGAAAATGCTTAAAGAAAGTCGTTTTTTGGTGGTGAAGGGACTGGACTCTGTGGCGGCTGGTAGTGGCAGTAGCAGCATGGTGATGGGGGCGGTGTCTTCCCGTGATCAGCCCGCTTGCCTCCCTCAGGGAGCGGCCCTAAGATGTCAGTAGGACATCCCCTGAGGGCTCCCAGACTGTGAGAGGGGACAGGCTGGGCTGAGGGACCCCACCTTTCCCAGTGCACGAATTTTTGTGCACTGAGCTTCTAGTATTAGCTAAGGGAAATGGGGAAAAATAAAGCAGAGTGAGGTGGGAGAGGGTATGTGCCGGGTTGGAGGCTTGCTGAGGTCACATTTGCAGAGGGCCTGGAAGAGATGAGAGAGCTCTGTAGGTAGGATAAGAGTCTCCAGGCAGAGGCCTGGAGGTGAGGAGGGGCAGGGTGTGGAAAGCCTTATTGAGTGTTATTGTGAGGACTTTGGATTTAATTGGAAGGGGGCTTTTTTTCCTGGTAAAACCAGAATCGGAGAGTAGGGTTTTAGTCTGATGGTCACAATGGCCTAATACTCCATCCCTGAACTTGACAGACATTCCCCTCCAGTCACAGGACCAGTGAACACCCCAGCACCTCCCCCACAGGGCTTGCCTTCCTAGGCTTCCGAGAGCAGGTAGATGCAAACCCTGAGTACAGTGCTTGCCTGGTAGGCAGTATGTACTCAATAAATGCTTGTTAAATGAATGAAATAAAGAGGTTAAAACAAGGATGGTTGTGCACCCCGCTTATTAAAAATTTCTTTTTTATTGATTTTTTTACAGAGAGGAAGGAAGAGGGACAGAGAGTCAGAAACTTTGATGAGAGAGAAGCATCGATCAGCTACCTCCCGTATCCCCCCTCCTCCCCCACTGGAGATGTGCCCCCCGCAACCAAGGCACATGCCCCCAACCGGAGTTGAGTCTGGGACCTCTCAGTCCGCAGGCTGACGCTCTATCCACTGAGCCAAATTGGTCAGGGCACGCCCTGCTTATTAATAAAAATAAGTTGAGCAGCTCTGATGAAACATAAAGCACAAAGAAAAAGACTAGAAATCTTGGAGAAAGGGGGCTTTTGGGTTGAGTGAAAGCACTTTCTTGGGTTTTAAATTGATACTTGCTTGGGAATAGGGGGAAGATTTCAGCACTTTATCATTATTAGCTTCTTCAAAGTATTCCATGTCAGCCTTTTGCTGTTCCTACATTGGTATAAAGGATAATGTAGTACTTCAACTGAGAAATCATATGCAGTTTGATTTTTCTTTATAGTGATACTTTAAGGAGTTGAAGTCATTTTGCCCTAGTGGGTTTGGTTCAGTGGGTAGAGCATCAGCCTGTGAACTGCATGGTCCTGGGTTCAATTCCAGTCAAGGACGTGAATCTCGGTTGCTTGGGCCCTGGTCAGAGTGAGTGCTGGAGGCAACCAATTGATGTGTTTCTTTCACATCTATATTTCTCTCTGTCTCTCTCGCTTTCTTCCACTCTCCCTAAAAATCAATGGAAATAATATCCTCGGGTAAGGATTTAAAAAAAAAAAAAAAAAAAAAAAAAGGAGCTGAAGTCATTTAAACATAAGTTTTTAAATGACACTTGCAAAATCAGATGAAACTACTATTGTGTTGTTGATCTTTTTAAAAAGAGGTTCTGGTGGAAAACAGTATGGAGTTTCCTTCAAAAATTAAAAATGGAGCTACCTTTTTGGGAATATATCCTCAGAATCCCAAAACACCAATCAAAAAGAAGATATGCACCCGTATATTCATAATAGCGCAATTTACAATAGCTCAGATCTAGAAACGGCTTCAGTGCCCATCAGCAGATGAGGGGGTGAAAAAGCTGTGGTGCATTTATACCATGGAATACTACGCTGCTGTGAAAAAGAAGGAACTCTTAACCTGTGCAATATTAGACCTGGAGAGGATTATGCTAAGCCAGTCAGAGAAAGAAAAGTACCATATGATCTCACTGACATGTGGAATCTAATAAGCAAGATAGGCTGACGAATGACATGGAACCAGGAGCATGGATGCATGGAAGAGTCTGGCAGGTGCCGGGTGTGGGTGACTGAATAAAAAAGGTGAAGGAATTAGCTAAAGAACATATATGCATACCCCATGGACGCAGACAGTAGTGGGGTGACGGCCAAGGGAGGGGAAGGTAGAGGTGGGTGAGGATGGGCAAAGGAGAGAGAGAATGGGGACCCCTGCAATAATGTCAACATTTAAATGTTTTAAATTTAAAAATAAGTAAAAGCAGCGTGCCAAATAAAATAAATAAAGCGAGGCTTAGTGGGTGGAATCTGCCTGCATTTAGTTTGGGCGTGAAAAGAGTGTTCACAGTTTTGCTCATGGTGTGGGTTGAATTATTTGGCAGTTCCTCAGAAAATGACCTCACCCCAGCTGATAAACAGGAGCACAGACAGCCAGAGTCCAGGAGCAGACGCAGGTGCAGGTCTGACTTGCTGCCTCTGGAACAAAAGACCAGCAGAGGAGCAGACGGGAGGCAGGCGAGCAGGTTTTCACTGCCCTCTCACACGTACTAATGTAGCTGAAATAGCTCCATGGTAATGTAGCCAAGCAAATGCCAGGCCATCCTCATCCTGGGCTTGATGTGACGTCCTTCTATCACCGTTCTGAGCGAGTAATGACAGAAAGAGGAACGCCCACACAGCACCAGCTTTTTGCTTACTGTTCAATGACTTTGCTTTCTTCACATCTGGATTACATTAAAGTTTAATTCAAAAGTATAACAACACAGACGAGGCTATGTGGGAAGCTGTGCAAAAGCACATGGAGGTTAAAATTTTCCAAGAGATTCGCCCCCCCCGAAATGTTCCTAGAATATTTGTAATTACTGTTAGACTCTCTCCTGCCTCTTCCCACCTCCATACAATAAACCACAGAAATGCAGATTTACTCTGTAGGTTTAGTTCTGTTTATTACTCTCTCTGCCACCACCACCTCTGGCAGCTTTGCCTCCTTTTATCTTTCCCAGACTGGAAAGGGAGGGATCCCTGTGTGGTGATGGCATGTGGCTATCTGCCTATCGAGTTTTAATGAACACAAACCAGTCACCTCTAGCAATTAAAAATAAGAGGAAGGCAGGCTTTTTAAAATGGCACGACCTATTGGACTTGGCTGTAAGCAACAGAAGTGTAAGCATCGGCAGACTCTGAGGTTGGGATTGCTGGAAAGCCAGGCTCAGAAGGGGCAGGAACCGAGGGAGAGCACAGCAGACCAGGTTGGCCCAGGAGCAGCCCCCATCTGCCACCTCACCCTGCCTGGCCTTTCTGTACAAGTTTCCACCGCCCCAGAATCTTTCCGTGACTGTCTGCAAATACAGGCTCCCCGGGGCCCGGAGGGGAGAACGGAAGAGCAAAAGGGAAGGTTCTTCCCAGTGGGAACAGTGTGGGGTCTAGGGAGTTCCCAAAAGGCAGAGGTCCACTACTGTTCTATAAAGACCTGGGTGAGCAAGTATTTCTCTATAGGTTGGGAAAAGGTTCTTACTGCTCTAAGAATCTATTTTTGCATTGTTTTCTCTTTCAGATGGCACTGAGATTGCAACTTCAACCTTGATGGGATTTTTGCTAATGAATGATTTTAAACTTGTCATTAATAAAACAACATACGATGTACAATGCCCCAAGAAAGGTAAGAAACACAGCTGTGCGACCATCTTAACATTTCCCTGTAGCTATGGGACTTTTAGACGGAGGTAGCTTATTTTTTTATTTATTTTTATTTTATTTTATTTTATTATTTTTAAAAAAATATATTTTATTGATTTTGTACAGAGAGGAAGGGAGAGAGATAGAGAGCTAGAAACATCGATGAGAGAGAGTCATCAATCAGCTGCCTTTTGCACACCCCCCACTGGGGATGTGCCCGCAACCAAGGTACATGCCCTTGACCAGAATCGAACCCGGGTCCCTTCAGTCCCCAAGCCGACGCTTTATCCATTGAGCCAAACCAGTCTCGGCTTAAATTTCTTTATTGATTATGGTATCACATAATTGTCCTCTTCCCCCATTCCCATCCCAAACCACTCCCCAGGTATTGCCTCCCCCCCACATTGTCCATGTCCACTGGTTAGGCTTATATGCATGCACACAAGTCATTTGGTTGATCTCTTCCCTTTGCCCCCACCCTCCCCTACCTTCCCTCTGAGGTTTGACAGTCTGATCGCTGTTTCTCTGTCTCAAGGTCTGTTTATGTTTATCAATTTATATTCATTATTTCCTCTAGATGTGTTAGATCATGTGATACAAGGAATTCCCTTATAAGGACCGAAACTGAGACAAGCCACAATGGTTATGCTGAGAGGCAAATGAATCAGTCTGTAGCGAGTTCCTTCTGGGCCAACATTTCTTTTGAGTCCCCATTTCAATGTCAAACAGTTCCTTATGTGTGCATGTCAGCCATGGTATTTCAGTTCTGGATGGTGGACAAATGGTGGGGATGCAGGTCCGACCGTCTCTGGTTTGGTCCTGGGCATCCTTCAGTGACGCACAGCTTCTGTCTGCTAGTATGGCAAGGCGTTGTCAGTGTCTTCCATCTCTGGACTGTTTCTCTTCTGTCTTCATGGCTGGATCAGTCCTGTCAATTCCTCTCTGTTGCAGGAATACACATGGTTCTGGAGTTGTTTTCAGAAAATATACAAACATATTCTCAACCAAAAGTTAATAAAGGGGTATTTTCTATAAATTTGACTTAGGATCCCTTTTCACTCCCCCCTCCCCCCCCAAATTATGTTCCTTTGGCTTGTTTTGACACCATGTATATTTTTCATGGGTGTCTTGCTGTTAGCATTTCAAATGAAAGTTAATTTTTTAAAGTACAAATTTTCTAGATGTAATTTACTCACAGGATATTTTTTCCTTACATGATATTTTCCTACTATCACCCCCTTTTTAAATTTAAATATTAGGAAACTTTTGGAAATTTTATAATATAGTCTTGATAGCTTTTACATTTTAATTATTTGCTCTAAAAATTACATGTTATGTAATTTTACCATGAGATGAACTGTCAATAAGAATTTTTGTTAACACTTTAGGAAAAGCTTTTTGTACAGTACAATCAATTTTTCTAGAATGTTAGCTTATTTCAATTAGCCAATTTAATTTCCTCTGAGAAATTGACTACTATTCACCTGTCAAACTCAACACTCTATCAACAATCTTATTTTATCCTATTTGTATTAGTGGAAAGGATTATTTGCCTTCTTGAGTAGGCCCTGAGCATTCCTGGTACAAGGCTGAATTTGGACATCAAAAACCCACTTCCCAAAAACCCACTTTCTCTCGCCTTGGGTACAAGACATCTCAAACAAGTCTTGTTGCAGTGAGAGGACAGCTGCTGTCAGCCAAGTCTCTGTCTGTTACTTAGGTCCCGATTTGAGCTGTGCCTGGGAAGTGAATCAGCCACGGGGGCAGGAGACCTCCCTCAGAATGGGAGAAGATTCAGGCGCCTGCCACGTTACAGCGGGGGAGGGTGGTGGTGGTAAGGGTCTGTACCCCACCTCTGTTGACCCCCAAGTTCTCTCCTGATGGCCTCTCTGCGACTGTGCCTGTCTTAGGTTGTTCCTTCCCTGAGGAATCTTACCCATCTCTGGCTAACCAGCCATCCTCCGGGGCCAAGCAGGGTGATGTGAGGTTCAGTACTGTCTCCTTGGTATCCTATGTCCCTGTGGCCTCCACCCCCAGTGCCTGCCTTGGGATCCCCTCGCCTACTGGCAAGGCCCGGACACTGATCTCATATTCTGGGGAACCCATATTTCTTCTCCAGAAAGGGCCCAGCTCACCCCACTGGGCAGGAGAGAGATCCATGGTACCAGCCACCATGATGCTTCAACCTTGACATGAAATGAAAGCTCAGGCAACAGCTGTGGGCAACTGGACCATGAGGAGAGGGTCACTCTTGGCCAAAAGGGCAAGAGGGGCCAAAATAGAATGCTCAGGTGCCTTCCAAGGGGGCCCTCTACACAGTGGAAAGGATTAAGTCCTTTCATGTCTTTTTTAAATTGCTGCCAGACATTCAAAGGATTGGTTTGTAAGTTTGTTTAAATCCTTTCATGCCGTATTTATTTATTTAAAAAATATTTTATTGATTTCTTACAAAGAGGAAGGGAAAGGGGTAGAGAGCTAGAAATATCAATGAGAGAGAAACATCGACCAGCTGCCTCCTGCACAACCCCCACTAGGGATGTGCCCGCAACCAATGTACGTGCCCCCGACCGGAATCGAACCTGGGACCCTTTAGTCCGCAGATCGATGCTCTATCCACTGAGCCAAACTAGTTTTGGCTTCATGTCGTTTTTAAATTGCTGCCAGACATTCAAAGAATTAGTTTGTACGTTTGTTTGGGACAGATGTACTAGCAACAAATTCCCTCTATTTTTGTTGGAGAGTCTTCATGTCTCCTTCACTTTTGAAGGATACGGAATTCTAGGTTAGTGGTGATTTTCTGTAAACACTTTGAATATTTCACTCTACTCCCTTCTTCTAGAGTTTCATAGAAGTCAGATGTACCATAACTTTTTCACTTTTATTAAATATTTTTGTTCATTGTTTATTTCTCCATACACTCTTCTACTGCACCCACCCCCTTTCCCTTTGCAGACATAACTTTATCTTTGCTCTTCTATAGGTAAGGAGTTTTTTTTCTCTGCCTTTTTCCAAGATGTTTCCTTTCTCTTATTGATTTTCTTTAGTTTGAATATGATACGCCTAGGTATAGGGGGCCTGGAGGCATTTATCCTCTTGATAGTCTCTGACATTTCTGCATCTGTTTATGGTTTGGTGTCTGACATTACTATGGGAAATTCTCAGTCATTATTGCTTCATATATTTCCTTTCAGCTGACTCCTTTCTTCTCATTACATGAATGTTATACCTTTTGTAGTGTACCGAAGTTCTTTGCTGTCCTGCCCTGTTTTATTCAGTGTTCTCTCTCCCTCTCCCTCTCCCTCTCCCTCTCCTCCCTCTCCCTCTCCCTCTTCCTCTCCCTCTCCCTCTTCCTCTCCCTCTCCCTCTCCCTCTCCCTCTCCTTCTCCCTCTTCCTCTCCCTCTCCCTCTCTTTCTCTCTCTCTCGCTCTCTGTTTTTCAGTTTGGGAAATTTCCATTGACATCTTCAAGCTTAGAATTGTTTGCTTAACCTGTTCCATCTACTAACGAGCCCATCAAGAGCATTTTTCATTTCTGGTGTAGCTTATATTTCTCATCCGTTCTTGCATGTTACCTACTTTATTTCAGTAGAATCCTTATCACATTAATTATAGTTATTTCATATTTCTGATCTTCTGTTCCTTTTTCTATTCTCCATCTGATATTCCCATTATGCATGCTATAAATACCTTTTGCAATTGTACCGCATTTCTTGGATATTCTGTTTTCCCATTCTCACCCCCCCACCACTTTTTTTTCTTTTCGGTTTGGGAAGTTTTTGGTTTTTTTTAAAATATATTTTATTGATTTTGTACAGAGAGGAAGGGAAAGAGATAGAGAGCTAGAAACATCGATGAGAGAGAGTCATCGATCAGCTGCCTCTTGCACATCCCCCACTGGGGATATGCCCGCAACCAAGGTACATGCCCTTGACCGGAATCGAACCCGGGTCCCTTCAGTCCCCAAGCCGACGCTCTATCCATTGAGCTAAACCGGTTTCGGCCGGTTTGGGAAGTTTTTATAGACATATCCTCACGCTCACTGACTCTTTCCTCCCCTTTGTCTAGTTTCCTGTTGAGCCCATTAAAGGCATTCTTCACTTTTATTATGGTATTTTGGTTTCTGGCCATAGTTTTGTTTTGTTTTTAATTATAATTCCCATTTTTCTTTTTACATTACTCATTTTTCTTACATGTTGTCCACTTCTTTCATCATAGCCCTTATCATTTTAATCACATTTGTCTTAATTTCATGGTCTGATAATTCCAAAGTCTCTGCCGTATCAGATTTTGCTTGTTTCTTCAGTTTTTCCCCCTCTCCTTTTACCTTGCTTGTAATTTCTTGTTGAAAGCTGGATGTGATGTATTGGGTGATAGAGACTGAAGCAGGGCAGTCTTCGGTGTGAGGCTTTATGTGTATCTGGACAGGCCTTTGGCCGGCCCTGCAGATATGAGGCCAGTGAGCCCACGTCTCACTTGTCCTCAGGGTTAAGAGGTTCTTCGCTGACCCAGACTTGCCCAGCCTCACAATGTAAATTAAATTAGAAGGGGCGCAGTAGGCATGGTTGGAAGGAAAATGACAGAGGAACTGTATGAGGCTAATGGGACATGACGTTTATAAAATAGTAAATTTGCAGTTTTTATTTTTATTTTTTAAATATATTTTATTGATTTTTTACAGAGAGGAAGAGAGAGGGACAGAGAGCTAGAAACATCGATGAGAGAGAAACATACATCAGCTGCCTCCTGCACACCCCCTACTGGGGATGTGCCCGCAACCAAAGTACATGCCCTTGACCGGAATCGAACCTGGGACCTTTCAGTCTGCAGGCCGACCCTCTATCCACGGAGCCAAACCAGTTTTGGCAAATTTGCAGTTTTTAAAAAAATGCATCTACAGCCCTAGCTGGTTTGGCTCCGTGGATAGAGCATCAGCCCACAGACTGAAGGGTCCTGGGCTGACAGTGCCTCCAGGATCCTGCGTTGAATTCTGGCCAAGGGCATGTACCTTGCTTGCAGCCTCAATCCCTGGCCTTGGTCCAGGCATGTGTGAGAGGCAGCCAATCAATGTGTTTCTCTCACATCCATGTTTTTCCATTTATTGCTCCCCATCCCTTTCACTCTCTCTAAAAATCAATGGAAAGCCGGGACCGGTTTGGCTCAATGGATAGAGCGTCAGCTTGGGGACTGAAGGGTCCCGGGTTTGATTCCAGTCAAGTGTACCTTGGTTGCGGGCATATCCCCAGTAGGGGGTGTGCAAGAGGCAGCTGATCGATGACTCTCTCTCATCGATGTTTCTAACTCTCTATCTCTCTCCCTTCCTCTCTGTATAAAGTCAATAAAATATATTTATTAAAAAAAGTCAATGGAAAAATAGGTCACACTGTCGCTCGCTCTCTGCCACCATCTTGGTTCTGCGTTCCCCGCACCAAGTGCACAGTGAGGCCACAGAAACCGTCCCTGCTGCAAAGCACGAGCTGCCACCGCCCCAGGCTGAGACAGGGTCTGGAACAGAAGCTGACAGTGATGAATCAGTACCAGAGCTTAAAGAACAAGATTCCACACAGGCAACCACACAGCAAGCCCAGCTGGCTGCAGAGGCTGACATCGATGAAGAACCAGTCAGTAAAGCAAAACAGAGGCGGAGTGAAAAGAAGGAACAAAGGCTATGTCCAAACTGGGTCTTTGGCAGGTTACAGGGTTACTAGGGTATCTTAGAATATCCTCTTTCTCATCACAAAACCGGATGTCTACAAGAGCCCTGCTTCACATACCTACCTAGTTTTGGGGGAAGCCAAGATTGAGGATTTATCTCAGCAAGCACAGCTAGCAGCTGCTGAGGAATTCAAAGTTCAAGGTGAAGCTGTCTCAAACATTCAAGAAAACACACTGTACAAGAGGAGGGTGAAGAGGAAGAGGCTGATGAAACAGGCGTGGAATTTAAGGACATAGAATTGGTCATGTCACCAGCAAATGTGTCAAGAGCAAAAGCAGTCCGAGTTCTGAAGAACAACGGTAATGATAGTGTATATTATGGAATTAACAGTGTAACCATCTAAAAAGGAGGATGCTTTTTGTATGTGTTTCAAGAGTTACTGCAGCTTAGTTTGATGTTTCTATCATTAATAAGGTTATGACTTCTAGTGGGATGAAAAAAAAAAAAAACCAGTGGGAAAATATTCTCAGGTGAGGATTAACAAAACAAACAAAAATGCATCTACACTTCATTTCTTTTAAAAAATATATTTTTATTGATTTCATAGAGGAAGAGAGAGGGAGACAGTGATAGAAACATCAATGATGAGAGATAATCATTGATTGGCTGCCTCTTGCATGCCTCCCCACTGGGAATCGAGCCCGCAACACAACCCAGGCATGTGTCCTTGACCAGAATCAAACCTGGGACCCTTCAGTCCGCAGGCCGACTATCTATCCACTGAGCCCAATGAGCTAGGGCTACACTCCATCTCTTTCCTAAAGCATTGTCAAATTTGGATTTGAAAATTTAGAATGTGAAAATGAAATCCACATTGAAGGCACAAAGAAAAGGAATAAACACCTTCTGAAGACAAAACAATTCCCTCTCATTTTTGGCTTTGGTTAGGAGATACCAGAGACAAACACTGAAATTTATAAGACAACATATGAATTCTGCAATGCCCACACTTCTAAAAGTGTACAGTCAAAAGTGTTTGCAATTAAACTTAGATAGACATTTTGTGTCACGTGACATAGACCAAACTTCAGTCCAGCTGGTCAGCGACCTCTCCTTAGCTAGGCCTCACCTTGGCCTGTAAAAACTGGGCACTCTCAGAACAATATATTTTCTCTCCCCTACCCTCCCACCCCCGAGACACACCCACTAAAAGACTTGAATAAACACCAGCAAAGTTTCTAACAGTTCAAAGGCCATATTCCTGGGATGATGAAATGTTTGCCTGAGAAAGCTCAACACTTTCAGGAGAATTTACTGTTTGTTCCAGTGAAAACCTGGTGATGGGCAGATAGGTCTGAGGCCTCTCAGAGCAATAACTGTAAGAAGCTTGCAATTACACACCCTTTCTCTACTCCTCTGGAGTGTAAATCTTCTGCCACCCAGAGCTGTCTCCTTAGGAACCCAGAGGCTGCTGTTTGCAATCAGGCATTCAAGGAGGTAACTCTTGCTCTCCCAGCCTGGTGGACCCCTTGCTCTGGCAGGCGCCAGTTAACAATTCCAGATGGCCCAGTCTCATTAACCACCTCCCATTCCCACTTTTTGTAAATTCCCACTTCCCTAACTCTGCTTACGCCCTTGATGCTCCCCTCTCTCCCTTAAAATGCACAGTCACCTCTGGGCAAATAGAAGTTGAGTTCAGCCCTAACCGGCTTGGTTCAGTGGATAGAGCGTAGGCCTGCAAACTCAAGGGTCCCGGGTTCGATTCCTGTCAAGGGCATGTACCTTGGTTGCGGGCACATCCCCGGTGGGGGGTGTACAGGAGGCAGCTGATCGATATTTCTCTCTCATCGATGTTTCTAACTCTCCCTCTCCCTTCCTCTCTGTAAAATATCAATAAAATATATTAAAAAGAGAAAAGAAGTTGAGTTCAGTTCACGCTGGATCCCGTTCCTTGTGCATTAGTTACTGAATAAAGTCTGTCTTTACCATTTTAAATTGGTGTCTGGCTTTGTTTGTCTTTCAAACCTGCCACAGTTTTGGACAAAATCGTTGCCCACCTGTACCTTTCTTCTGTATGGAGACCTTTTACATATTAGAGTATATTTCATCAAAACAAAAGGACTCTGACTGTTCTGCAACTCTCAAAAGCCTAGGATGGAACTTCTGGTTTTCTCCTCTTCGAGGCAGCTTTAACTTATAATGTGGAAGGGATTAAAGACCACAATATGGGGGAAAGGGGACCTATGTAAAACTTTAGGCAATAAATAAAAATAAAGACCACAGTAAGCCTGGAAGAAGTGGGTGGAGACAGAAGAGAAATAACTGCAGGACTGTTGGCAAAACCTGAAAAACCGCTGGGCTGATAGTAACTCCAGGATCTAAGTCCCTCTGCAGTTGTTTGCTGCTGCCTGATGGGAAGGTCCTTCCTCTCACCTTGTCCCCTCCCTCAGGTTCTCTTCCACGGCTGAGGGACAGTTATAACTCTCGAAAAGGTATGACAGGCCAGTTCGTGTGAATTCATAGATCCATAGAGGCGAAAAGATGAGAGAAATCCATCATCAGAAGAATTAACTCTGTGTTAAAGACATGGCGACGCCCTTCCTTGTTAGTCTGAGCCTCTTTTCAGATCTGTACCTTGCTGTAAAGAGCTTACATTTGAATTGCCTTTCATAAGCATATTATACTTCGGTTTACATGTTTGTACACCGGCTTTCCTCCCCTGTGGATCCTAAAATAATTTTTGGGTAGGTGGTTGGAGGGTAGGGGGAGGGATCTCGCGTGGAACTCGGCAATAAAAGTGAGCACATAAACGAATGTGTTATAAACTAAGGTGAGGTATGCACCTGGGTTCTGGTGATGGGTATCCCCCTTACTCTTCCCGTACAAAGATTTTTAAAGAAACAGCAAGTCATATTACAAAGAAAAAAGGCAAACAAAAAAATGATGATTTTAAGCCTGCTGTCTGGTAACTTACCATTCCAGATTGTCTTAGTATCAGCGGGACTGACAGGATCACCTGAGGCGGGAAGAAAGGCCCACGCCAAAGCTTCCCAGGAGGAAGGGGGCTGATGGGCCAGCGCGGGGGCCAGCGAGTGGGCCAGCCACGGGGAATCCAGTGTGGGTCCCTGGAGGAAAAATGCGGTGACTGCCTTATGTTTCCCTTGTGTCTTTTCTCAGAAAAACTGAGCAGTGAGCACACTACCGACTTGGAAGATATGAAATCCTTGGTTCACCGGCTGTTCACAGCCTTGCATTTAGAAGAGTTTCAGAAAAAGAGGGAGCACCATTTACTGGAGGAAATTGACCACCTGAAGGGACAGCTGCAGCCCCTCGAACAGGTTAGGAAACGTCACAGTTGAGTCTGAAAACAATACCCAGTTTTTATTGAGTGTTGACCTCGGGAGCATTTTTCTACAAACTACGGTGAGGTACTCACCAGGGTTCTGGTAATGGACATTCCCCTCACTCTTCCTGTATGAAGATTTTTTTTAAAAGAAACAGCAAGTCATATTACAAAGAAAATGCTTAGTTTGAATGGTTTACATATACTCACGTTCTCCTTTAACCCTCACAGTGAGCGACAAGTTTAGTACTGCTGTCTTTCTCATTCCTCAGCTGGGGAAACGGAGGCAGCAAAGGCACACAGCTAGTCTGGAGAGCCAGACCCGAACTCCGCTGGTCTGACTCTAAGGCTGCCATCTCAGACTCTGCTCTGCTTCCTCCCCACGGAGGGCCGTAATGTCTCTGTAAATGAGTATAATATGAGCTGGGGTGCACTAGCTGCACTAGTTACTCCAGTTTCTCTGTCAGAGTTAGCCCACGGCTCCAGCTCTGCTTAACAGAACTGCAAGTGGAGAGTCAGTGAGGGCTTCCTAACATCTGAGGTTAATCAGTGGAGCAGAAAAAAACTTTTTGGGGGAGGAGGTAGTGGGGTCTGTTTTAATTTAAGGGGAAAAAAACTGCATTTTTAAAAATATATATTGATTTTTTATTGAGAGAAAGAAAGAGGGATAGAGAGTTAGAAACATTGATGAGAGAGAATCATCGATCAGCTGCCTCTTGCACATCCCCCATTGGGGATGTGCCCACAACCAAGGTACATGCCCCTGACTGGAATTGAACCTGGGACCTTTCAGTCCGCAGGCCAAAGCTCTGTCCACTGAGCCAAACCGGTTTGGCAAGAAAAAAAAAAAACACCCAAAAAACTGCAATTCTTAAATCAGTGATTCGCTTGTGATTTTTGAAAAAGGGTAGGGTGTAACTTTGTATATGAATAGAAAATTTCTGGAAATAAAATAAGCTTTTAATAGTGGTTAACTCAGGATATGTAGGGATGGCAGAGAGGACTTTTTACTATTATTTATTGGATTGTATATCTACATTTTAATTTTTCTTAAAAAATTTTTCTTTATTATTAAGAACAAAAAGTTGGCCAATGGGAAGTTTTTCTTCACTGTCCTCCCAGTACCATATACCCACAACCTGCAAACCATCTCAGATTTTATGTGCAAGTGCAAATATGTTACATTTTCCCTTTTTCAGAAAAGCACATGGGCTGTTACACACTATTCTTACCTTTTTTCAACTAACAGTATCCAAGCCTACTTCATTTTATTTCTCTTGGTTTTATTGCACTTCATAGATATTGCCTGTGTTGTTTTTTTTTTTTTCAAATTGAAGGTAAGACCCTCTACCAGCAAGAATATTACAAAGATATGGCAAGTCATATTAGAAAGAAAATGCTTAGTTTGAATGATTTACATATACTCACGTATAACACTTTGCTAAAGACTCAGATGATGGTTAATAACTTTGGAAATAAATTGTTTTTAAATTAAGGTATGTACATTGCTTTTGTAGATGCAATACTGTTGCACATTTAATAGACTGCAGTGTAAACATAACTTTTATATATGCTGGGAAACCAAAAAATCCACATGACTCACTTTATTGCAATGTTCACTTCACTGTGGTGATCTGCAGCAGAGCCTGCAATATGCTGGACGTGTGCCTACATCCTGGAGAGAGCTCCGTATGGCTGCAGAGAGAGCTTCTTCATTACAGCTGCATAGTATCTTGATGGATGGATGGATAATTTTGGGTCTTTGAATCTTTTTTTAAAAGATCTTTATTGTTCACATTATTACAATTATTCCTTTCTCCGCCCCCATATCTCCCCTCCACCCAGTTCCCACCCCATACCCTTACTCCCCCCGCACTGTCTCATCCATAGGTGTATGATTTTTGTCCAGTCTCTTCCCGCACCCCCACACCCTTTTCCCTCTGAGAATTGTCAGTCCACTCCCTTGCTATGCCCTGATTCTATTATTTTCACCAGTTTATTCTATTCATCAGATTTTTAATTTACTTGACTTTTAGATTCACTTGTTTATAAATGTGTATTTGTTGTTCCTAATTTTTACCTTTACCTTTTTCTCCTTCTTCCTCTTCTTTTTTTTTTTTTTTAAATATATCTTTTATTGATTTTTTTACAGAGAGGAAGGGAGAAGGATAGAGAGCTAGAAACATTGATGAGAGAGAAACATTGACCAACTGCCTCCTGCACATCCCCTACTGGGGATGTGCTTGCAACCAATGTACATGCCCCTGACCGGAATCAACTTGGGCCCCTTCAGTCCAAAGGCTGAAGCTCTATCCAGTGAGCCAAACGGGCTAGGGCTTCCTCTTCTTATTAAAGAATACTTTTCAGCATTTGATATAATACTGGTTTGTCGGTGATGAACTCCTTTAGCTTTTTCCTATTTGTGAAACTCTTTATCTGACCTTCAATTCTGAATGATAGCTTTGCTGGGTAGAATAATCTTGGTGGTAGGTTCATGCTATTTATCACTTTGAATATTTCTTGTCACTCCCATCTGGCCTACATAGTTTCTGTTGAGAAATGAACTTGCAATCGTATGGTGTTCCCTTATAGGTAACTAACTGTTTTTCTCTTGCTGCTTTTAATATTCTCACTTTGTCTTTTGCTCTTCGCATTTTATCATAATTATGATGTGTCTTGGTGTGGTCCTCTTTGGATTCCTTTTGTTTGGGGTTCTGTGTGCTTCCAGGACTTGTAAATCTATTTCTTTCACCAGGTGGGGGAAATTTTCAGTCATTATTTCTTCAAATAGATGTTTGTTAACTTGATCTCTCTCTTCTTCTGGAACCCCCATAATTCGGATATTGGTATGCTTAAGGTTGTCCCAGAGACTCCTTATCCTAACTTCATATTTTTGGATTGTTTTTTCTTTTCTGGTTGAGTATTTTTTGCTTTTTTGTATTTCAAATCTTTGACTTGATTCTTGCATTCCCCTAGACTACTGTTAGGTCTCTATATAATATTTTTTATTTCAGTCATTGTACATTTAATTTCTAGTTGGTCCTTTTTCATATCCTTGAAGGTCTCATTAAATTTATTTGCCTTTTCTAGAAAATTCTTGAAAAATCTTATAACTGTGGTTTTAAACTCTAGATCTAGTAGTTTGCTGTCCTCCATTTGTTTCATTTGTGACCTGTTTCTTTGTCTCCACATTTTGGCTGCTTCTCTGTGTTAATAGAGTGGCTTTGTGTGCTAGGTGTCCTATAGGGACCAGTGGCTCAGCCTCCCCAGTTACCTGAGGTGGACACTCTTGGTGCACCTTTTTGTGGGCTGTTGCACAGTCTTGTTGTAGTTAAGCCTTGCTTGTTGTTAGTATCACTGGGAGGAATTTACCTCCAGGCCAAATGCCTATGAAGATCAGCTATGTCTATAACGGGAGAACTTCTGTGCTGGAGACACCCTTATAAGGCAAGACTTGCTTCAGTAGGGCTTTGGTGCTCACTGAGTCTGCCCCCTGGGTGTGTCCAGAATCTGAGGAGCTGTAATCTGGTCCTACTCTGACCTCTGGGTACACTGGCTCTTGGGTCTCCAAGGAAGTGCTAATTTAACCTCTGCCTGAGGCCACCCAGCAGGAGCTACAGAGAGATGTGCAGGTTCCTCTTTTTTTTTTTTTGGGGGGGTGTTGGAGGTGCCCAGATGAGGCCCAGTTGTGAAACAGGGCAAGCTGTTCTGGGGACTTTGGCCTTCTTTTGGATGTTTTGGGTCTATCTGACTCAACTGCAGTTTGATAGGTAAGTTTAGATTTTACAGGACCAGGCCATTCATATGCAAAAGCCTCTGTGCATAGCTTGGATGGGTTTGAGTCTCATGGCAGAGCAAACAGCAATGGCTTCCTGACAGCCCAGCCCTAAGAGGCCCCAGGGTCTTAGTGTCCAGCAGTAATTGCTGCAAGCACCTCTGAGAGAAAGCTGCCCTTGAGTTCTGCCTGCTTCCAGATAGTCCAGTTTCTCCCTGTATGAGTCTGTTTCCCCAGAGTTTCCGCCCAGAACTGGAGTTGAGTGCAATCAGGAGCTTGTGTCTCCTTCTGACTTGAAAAAGCCAGCCATGTACTCAGTTGCCAGTCCTCTCCATGTGCGCACCTCCATACCTCTGCCTTCCTCAGCTCCTCTGAGTCTCAGTGTGCTTTTCTCTTTCCTTCTAGTTGTAGAATTTCTACTCAGCCAACCTTCCTGTGGTTCTGGATGATGTCCATTTTGCCTTTTAGTTGTAGTTTTGAAGTTGTTGTGCGAGGTGGCAAGTTTAGGCATTTACCTATGCCACCATCTTGGTTTCTCCTAGGTCTTTTAATCTTAAAAATGAATCTATGATGATCACATGTGTGCAGGAGCACCTGTAGGATGAATTTCCAGAAATGAAATTGCTGGGTTGGCTGAAACCAGTTTGGCTCAGTGAATAGAGCGTCAGCCTGTGGACTCAACGGTCCCAGGTTCGATTCCGGTCAAGGGCATGTACCTGGGTTGCGGGCACATTCTTAGTAGGGGGTGTGCAGGAGGTAGCTGTCGATGTCTCTGTCTAATTGATGTTTCTAACTCTCTATCCCTCTCCCTTCTTCTCTGTAAAAAATCAATAAAATATATTAAAAAAATATATATATATATTAAAAAAGAAATTGCTGGGTTGAAGAAAATCAGGATGTAATTTTAGGGAGGGTTCACAGGATGGCTTTTGAGTTTTCATTGCATACTCATCTTTTTTATTTAAATAACTTCTATGAGCAGGTATTACTTTTAAAATTTAAAAATAATTTATTAATGAACTGATTAATGTATTTGTTTTATAAATTCTGTGTTTTCATAAATTAAGCCTCTTAAAGTATTAGATATGCATTATTTTTGTTCCTTTTCTTTGAAACTGAGTTAACCATCTTTTCATTTTTCTCAGATGAAAGCTAAAATTGAAGCTCGCTCAGCAGCTAAAACCAGTGGACTCCTGTGGGCTGGATTGGCGCTGCTGTCCGTTCAGGGTGGGGCTTTGGCCTGGCTCACTTGGTGGGTGTATTCCTGGGATATCATGGAACCAGTTACATACTTCATCACATTTGCAAATTCCATGGTCTTCTTTGCATACTTTCTAGTGACTCGACAGGTGAGTAGTTTGTTAGGAAAATAGTAAGTTAGAACATTTCCAAATAATTCCTTATCCAATTCAAGTAATGAGCAATAAAGCCTTTTTATTTCCTGAATTATTGCTATCTGGGTTGTTATCAGCTGATAAAATTTCTTGTTCTTTTTCATGAGAATAGAGATTTATATTCATCCCAGAGAAACTATATGTAACTTCTGTAGAAAAACATTACAACTCAGAGATTCCTCCATTGAGATAACACATTAAGTTTATGTTCTTTGTTCCCTCATCTACAAAATAAAATTGACCCCGTGTTAGGGTCGCCAAAGGAGGAACACATGAGGCCAAAAATGGGTAAAGAATTATAAATTTATTGTTACATTTGCAAATGTCATCAGGGGGCATTGTAGGGGGAGCGGCATATTTATGTCTCTTGTAAAGGTCAGCCAGAGTAGCTGGTCAGACCAGGTCAGGTGGGGGCCAGTTGTAGGCAGTTCACTGGAAAATGGGTGAGGTAGTTTATTGGAAACTGAAATCCATTTAGCATAAAACCTATGAGAATAATGGGGAAATTGTGGGGAGGGGCAAGAATCCAGGCACAAGAATGTGCCTTACACCAGTAACTTTAGCTTTATCTTGTGATTATTTTGCCAAAAATCTCCATTTGTCTTTTTCTCCCAGTATGTGTGATTTCTCTTCCCAGCTGGTTTGTTTTGAAAGTAGCAGCTGATCTCAAATGAACTAAATGTTTTCCTTGTTTGCCTTATGCTCGTTCTGGAAACTACAACAAATATTTTACTTACCTGCCTTTGATTTAGTGTTGCTAAGGCATGTATGTTGCTTACAGAGGCATTATGTTCATTTAAAACATGTTCTCTTTTTTTAGGATTATACTTACTCAGCTATTAAGAGGAGGCATTTTCTTCACTTCTTTTATAAGAAATCAAAGCAACAGCATTTTGATGTGGTGCAATACAACAAGTTAAAAGAAGATCTTGCTAAGGTACTTTATTGCAAGCATCTTATATAGGTGGCTTTGTATGGGAGCCAGAACTTTAGTGTCAAGGAAATATAATTGGTGGCTTATTGTCATTGGTTTAATTTTTGATGCATTGTGGTTTGTTCTGTGAAATAATAGACTTGTCTAATACTACTCCATATCCAACAATTTTATTGTCTTCTGTAGTTGATAGGGTGATAGCTTTAAATGTGTATGTGAAAATGTCTTAAATGACTTTGAGGTAGTAAAATAATAGCTTTCAATAGAAATCTTTTTCTTGGTGAGTGCGTATATTTAAAGAAAACAACCTAAGATCAGGCTCATTTGCAATTTGTCACCTTTTAAGAACATAAAAGAAAGAATTCTAGGAAGGTAGACAGTAATAAAGAATTTTAAGCTCTTAAAAAAGGCATTTGCAAGTTCTGCCTAAAACTAAGAGAATCAGTGTGGTATTCCTCCTTTCATGTTTTCCAGTTGTCAGATGAGCAAATAGAGGTGCTTAATGTCACTTGCCCAGGTATACACAGTTAGAAAGTTGGGGGACCAGGGTATGAAACCAATACATTGTCTCTGGAGCCTATTTCTTAGGTAGCTTTTAGGCTGCCCAATAGACTCATTAGCTTGCTCAGGTGGCAGCTTCTCAACATGTAAAAAAAAATCTTAAATTTCTCTTAGTAATTTTATAAGAAAAAAGTTCCGGTAAAAATACCTTCTATTGCCCAATAGCCAGTAAGCATCATATTTTTTGTTATGGTACCTTCTCAATTGAAAAAAACTCACCAAGATATTACTAAAATTAAATTCGTAATCCAAAAATTAGAGTTAAAAAGACTTCATTTTTAAAAATTTATTTCATATAATTAGTACTTAGGAGAAATATAATGATGCTTTAAAAAAAATTTAGTGGCTACTCTTCCATTTGAATGATCCAATCCAAGACGACTAAGGAAAGTTTTTCCAACTAGTTTTAGAACTGAGAATTTAAAACTTAAAGGAGCATTCTGTGAAGTATTCATTTTTAAAAATATATATATTGTATTGATCTTTTACAGGGAGGGAGGGAGAGGGATAGAGAGTTAGAAACATTGATGAGAGAGAGACATCGATCAGCTGCCTCCTGCACCCCCCCACTGGGGATGTGCCCACAACCCAGGTACATGCCCTTGACCGGAATCGAATCTGGGGTCTTTCAGTCCGCAGGCCGACGCTCTATCCACTGAGCCAAACCGGTTTTGGCAAGTATTCATTTTTTAAGGTAATAAAGTTGAGGCGGACAAAGAGAAGCTGACAGGTTACAGAGTGGATTCTGTTTTAGTTTTGTTTTGTTTAAAAAATTTTTGTTAATCCTCACCTGAGGATATTTTTTCCCATTAATTTTTAGAGAATGGGAGGGTGGGAGGGAGGAAAAGAAGTAGGGAGAGGGAAGAAAGGGAGAAACATTGATGTGAGAGAGACATATCAATTGGTTGCCTCCTCCATGAGTCCCAACCAGGGCCAGAGATCAAACCTGCAACCCAGGTACCTTGTCCTTGACTGGGAATCAAACCCAGGATCCTTTGGCCCATGGACCAGCACTCTCACCACTGAATCACACTTAAAAAACCCATTATAAATGGGAAAAGCTAATATAACAAGAACTATAAGAATGTATTAGAAACCTTAAACTCACCTTTTAGGAAAGGATCCATATAAATTGAAATATTGTCGGCATTTGTCACTGGTAATTTAGTATATGTATTGACCTAAGGAGACATTTTCTCCTCAGCAGTCATGCTGATGTGTTTCCTATGCTTTCTGATCAAGGACTTTTTCTCTTCTTGTCGACAGGCTAATGAATCCCTGAGCCGGTTACGCCGCTCTCTCTATTTGCGAACACAAGTAGAGGAACTCAATGAAAAGAACTAATCTTAACATTTTTAAATGTCATTGGATTTTTTCATTATGTGTTGATTTTGCAACTTAGAAACTGGAACTTTTTTGAGTTTTGAATTTGACTGTTTCAGTATCTTTTCTTAATAAAAGAAAATGCTTGCAAAATACTGGTATTCTTGCGAGTTGTCACTTGAGATTTTTGGTTTGTGGATTTTCACTGCTTGTTGAGGTTTAATGCTGGAAGGAGCTTGGGTGCGTCCATCAAAATCGAAGTGGCTGCTGGTCAGTTGGCACTTACGCTGAGAGCCTGTCCTGAGTTCACTGCCTGTGTGGAGGGGAAATAGGCATGTGTTTGACATTCACTTTCATTCTTAGGCTTTGTGTAGAATCATCATTTATTTATTTTTAAAAAGTTATTTTTATTATAGTTGACATATAATAAATAATATACTAGTTTCAGGTGCACAACATAGAGATTCAATATTTATATACTTTATAAAGTGATCATAATGAGTCTAATAACCATCTGTCACTGTACATTCATTTCATTTTAAATACATAGCTGTTGGAAGACTTTTATCATCTATACTAATAAAAGGGTAATATGCAAATTGGTCATGATGCCTTTATAGTAACAGCTGACCAGCAGGCTGTGTGGGGCGACCATGCTGGCAGGAAGGGCAGTTAGGGGTGATCAGGCAGGCAGGCAGGCAGGCAGTCAGCAGTTAGGAGCCAGCGGTCCCTGGGGTTGGGCCGAAACCGGCAGTTGGACATCTCCTGAGTGGTCTCTGATTGGAGAGGGTACAGGCTGTGCTGAGGGGACCTGTTATCCAAGATTTCAATGAATTTCATGGACCGGGCCTCTAGTTACATTATAAAATGTCATTTAAAATGTTTCATCTTAACTAATATTTATGGAGATAAAGATTTTTATATGTTGTCAAATACTGTACTAGATGCTTTACATATATATTACCTATAATCTTATGAGGTAACTATTTTTTATTTTCACCTGAGGACATGCTTTTATTGATTTCATTCTATTTATTGATTTATTTTGCTTTATTTTATTTTAGAGAGAGAGGAAGGGAGAGACAGAGAGAGAAACATCACTGTGAGACACATCGATTGGTTGCCTCCCACACAGACCTCAACCACGGTCTGTGCCCTTGACTGGAATCAAACCTGGGACCCTATAATTACAGGCTGATGCTCCATCCACTGAGCCAAACCGACAAGGGCTGTGCTACTTTTTAACCCCAATTTAATAATAAGTTAACTGAAGCTTAGCTTAATTTGCCCAATTGCACGCATTTCTGGAAGATTTAAGCATCAACCTATAGTAGGTCATAAATCCTTGTAAATTTACAACTACTGGTATTTAATCTGTTATCCAGGATTTCACTGTTTCAGTGTTTGACAAGGGTAATGATAACAGCCTGATATCATAGATTTGCTTAAAACGACACCCTGAATGTTTTCAGGGTATTCTCTATCTTTCAATCAGATCAGTCAGACTTACTGTATCTTAACTATAACACAGTGATCACTTGCTATTTGTATCAATATCTCTGAAAAACAGAGATTCTGAATTAGCAATATATTAGGGTTTTATTAGTTAAGAATATACACTCATGTTTTTTTTTTTTTTTTAATATATTTTTATTGATTTCAGAGAAGAAGGGAGAGGAAGAGAGAGAAACACCCGTGATGAGAGAATCATTGATCAGCTGCCTCCTAAGAACCTCCCCCCCTCCTATGAACCAACTGGGAATGGAGCCTGAAACTGGGACATGCTCTCTAACTGGGAATTGAACTGTGACCTCCTGATTCATAGATCGAAGCTCAAACCCGGGGCCATGCCAACTGGGCACACTAATGTTTTTTTAATGAATATCTCCTGGGAACTGAAAAACATTCCCAGATCCCAATTCCTGTGTGTGTGTGTGTGTGTGTGTGTGTGTGTGTGTGCGTGCGTGCGTGCGGGTGGGTGTGGGTGTGGGTGTGGGTATGGGTGTGGGTGTTCCCACATCAAGGATTCTTGGTCGCCTGCAGGGTGTCTTGAGGACTCATCTCAATTCTGACAATCTGCATGGAGATAGAATGTGACTCCAGCTTTAATTAACACTCCCTCAAAGTCACCTGGCCTCATATTGTGAATTTTTCCTGCACAAAGTCAAGAACCCACACAGTACTGGCTGGGCTGGGGCAGTCTCATACAGGGCCAGGCTCCCTTTCCAGTGACAATGGACCTGTGTGCTTTCTGGTTCTCCAACATGGAGGCTCTCCCCAAAGAGGCCGACTGGCTGTCCTCTGGGTTTTCAGATTTTTAAATTGATCTTTAGAGGGAGAAAGGGAGAGGAAGAGAGAAACATTGATGTGAGATCAAAACATTGGTTGGCTGCCTCCCATACATGATTAGGAATCAAACCAGCAACCTCTTGATGCACAAGACCATGCCAACCAACTGAGCCACACTAGCTAGGGTGGGCCTCGTCTTTTGGGTGGAATTTGGGGAGGTGGGCTTCTCAGTCAGGGAAAATATAACAAGTGGTGGGAGGAGTCCACAAACTGGTCTTAGCTGTGTTTTGGTGGGATGCTTCTCTCACCAGAACTGAGCACATACAATGAAAAGAAGTTGGTTGGGAGGGTGGGGTCAGTAAATGGAGGTGGGATTCCAGATTTAACAGAAAACAGTAAATCCAGTGTAGGAGAGAAAGTATGTGGGGTCAGGCAGGCTCTGCCACTTATTAGCTAGAGATTCTAGGCAATTAACCTGACCTCTCATCAAAATAATTATATCACTAGAGGCCCGGTGCATGAAATTCATGCACCGTGTGTGTGTGTGTGTGTGTGTGTGTGTGTGTGTGTGTGTGTGTGTGTCCCTCAGCCTAGCCTGCACCCTCCCCAATCTGGGACCCCTCGAGGGATGTCTGGGATTGGGCCTAAATGGGCAATTGGATATCCTTTTTACAATCCAGAATTGCTGGCTCCCAATTGCTCTCCTGCCTGATTGTTCTTAATCACTTCTCCCTGCCAGCCTGATCACACTCTGATCACTCCCCTGATGGCCAGGTCACCCCAAACTGCCCTCCCCTGCTGGCCATGTCACATCCAACTGCCCTCCCTTGCTGGCCCGGTCACCCCTGTCTTCCCCTGCCAATTGGATCGCTCCCAACTACCCTCCCTTACAGACCTGTTTCTCCACACACCCCCCTTTAGTACCCTCCCCTGCATGCTTGGTCACCCCCAGTTGCCTTCACCTGTAGGCCTGGTTCCCCCCGAACTGCCCTCCGATGCTGGCCATCTTGTGTCCACATGGGGGTGGCCATCTTGTGTTGGAGTGATGGTCAATTTTCATATTTAACCCCTTTTCTTATATAGGATTGATTTGCATGAGAATAAAGTGAGGTAAAGTACTTTGAACATGCAAACCCAAGATAGATATTTTACAAATGTCTCACCTGAACGTTAAGTTCCAGGAGAACAGAGATGGTGTGCTTTGTTTGCTGATGCACCGCTCCAGGGCCAATAATACCTGGTCCATATTAGGTACCCAAGAAAGAGGGAAAAGGCCTGAGGCATTTTCAGGTGTAGCGCTAGGGAGAGTCTAGAACATGGGAAGGATGCTTCTGAATTCTGGCACACAGTCAAAAGGAACATCTGGGAAGATGGGGTGAATTAGAGTAGGTGCTGGCAAGCTTTACCTATGCCTGTTTTTATAAATAAAGTTTCATTGACACACAACTATTCTCATTTATTGACCATGGCTGTTTTTGCACTATGGTAGCAGTTGACTAGTTGCAATAGAGACAGTGTACCTGCCAATATAAATGAATAAAAATATGAATTAGAAAGACTTGATAAAAACATGAATTATTCTTGGGTTTCAAAAATCTTTGAAAACATTATAAAATTTTATTTAAAAAATTCACAAAATGCAAGCTAAATCAGCCTGATATTTTGAGTAACCTTGCAACTTAAAAATAAAAATTAAGTATTACAAACGTTTGTTGATTTTTATTTATAGTAATTCCCTGAAGATTTAGTTTATCTATCAAACCCTTTCACCATGTGCAATATGAACTATTTTTTTAAAAAAAGTTCTCTCATTAAACTTAAGCCTTTTAAATTGCTGTACCATAAGCTTCAATCTAGTGACATTTATATAAAAAGAGAAATCTATTTAGACTACAATTACATAAAACAGCCTTATTTAGATTTTGGGAAGAAATGCAGCTTTTTAGTTAGCATGGAGGCAAAGCAGGGGACCTGCTTCTTTCCAATTGCAGTTTTGTCTACGCAGAAGTCCACTCGGCGCTGAGAAACTTTCCTGTTCACCAGTGTGAGGAGTTCTGTGAATTCTAAGGAGGAGCCGAATCTTTTCAGCATCTCACACAAATCTTGAATGTACCAGGAGCCATTCACAGTTTCCCGATGAGAATAATAACCTAAGAAAGAGGAGGAAAAGGGACACTGAAATTGTCTGGCATTCAGTTACTGTGACTTAACACACCTTTATAATCACAGAGGTATAAAGCCTCAAAAAACCTTGGAAAAGACAAAGATGTGTCCATGATTCAGTTTTGTACATTTTTCCTGTTGACTATTCTCGTGGGAAAGGGATCAATTCTATATAGTTCTATCAAAATGGGGTTAACTCTACTTAATTACCTAAACGTTTCCAAGATAGTAGTAGCCAGGCAATGATTTTGAGAGACAAGAGATTAGAAAGAAGAATATCATAAAAATTACTGCAAACCAACCATCATCACCAAATATTTTTCAACAAAACTTCCCATGCGTATGGACCAAATGACACTATCGCCAGCAGTAATTCCTAGCAGGCTGCTAATACTCAATACAACTAGACCCTGGTAGCTTTAGACATGGGAGTTCTCAGGGATGACTTTTTTGTAAGGTATTCTTACATTTTCACTATCACTCCCTGCCACTTGGTCAAAGAAATCCACTCCAGGCCTGTGAGCTTCAGGACCAAACCACCTCGTCCCAACAGAAAACGGTGATCCACGCCAAGCCAAGACGAAGCTCAAAGGAACTGAGCCCGGAGAGCCAATCCTATGTGTGTATTAAACACTCACACACCTTCTGCAACAGAGTAGCACATGAGGAAGTCCGCGCCAGCAGGCAGGGTGTACACGGAGGCTGCGTCCACCTCGGTGACATCGCCATCGGGCCAGTCCGGATTGTCCACCTCGTCCAAAGGCATGACTGGCACATCGTGCTTGTTTCCCCGACATGCCTGCAAGACACGGAGGAAAACCACCTCACTCACCGACCCACCCCTTCTTCCCAATGCTTACTGTTTACAGCGGACATATATATATATCTATAATTCATGTGGACACCAACAGAAGCCACTTTATAGGCATTTCATTTTTAATTTTAAAAAATTTTTAAAGAGTTTTTTTTTAAAAAAAATGAGATTTTACAGAGAGGAAGAGAGAGGGATAGAGAGAAACATCAATGAGTGAGAAACATTGATCAGCTGCCTCCTGCACACCCCCTACTGGGGATGTGCCTGCAACCAAGGTACATGCCCTTGATGGGAATCGAACCTGGGACCTTTCAGTCCGCAGGCCGATACTCTATCCACTGAACCAAACCGGTTTCGGCTACAGGCACTTTAAACCTCAGCATTCAGGTTTAGAGCAGACTAAAGTGGAGTTTCTCTCCCCCCCCCCAAGTTTTTTTTAGTTAATGTTTGAAAAAATATTGGCATCCTCAACTATACAGTAAATTCTGTTGATTGATAGGTAAAGTATAGAGGAGAAAGTGTGATTTAAAAAATTCCTTATAGGTAAATCCTACCAAGCACTTACCATAGCACTAAGAGTCATCCTTTCTTTTAAAACCTATAGTTTTTGCCCCAGCTGGTTTGGCTCAGTGGATAGAGCATCCACCTACGGACTGAAGGGCCATGGGTTCAATTCTGATCAAGGACACGTGCCTGGGTTGTGGGCTTGATCCCCAGGAGGGGGCGTGCAGAAGGAAGCCAATCAATGATTCTCTCTCATCATTGATGTTTCTATCTCTCCCTCTCCTTTCCTCTCTGAAATCAATTAAAATATATTTTAAAAAAGAAAAAAACTATAATATTTGCTTAAATAATATGTTCCCAGGGGGTTTTGCTTACCTACCGGCAGCCATAAATGGTTAAGGTTAAAATGACAATATTTGACTTGAGAAGTGTGCCTTCTTCCTTTTGCTGCTACTTGAAAGTGAGGTCTCAAATTCTTAGCCGCTAATTCTGACTCACACAAAGACTAGCACTAATTTCGATTCATAAATGACTATCATGGACTCAATTTTGTCCCTCCCCTTCCAAAATGTATATGATGAAGTCCTAACCACCAGTACCTCCAATGTGATTGAAGTTGGGAATTTGGTCTTTAAAGATGCGATTAAGGTAAAATGAGGTCCTATAAGTGGCTCCTAATCCACTATGACTGCTATTGTTATAACATGGGGTTAACACACACACACACACACACACACACACACACAGGAAAGACAGTGAGAGGACAGAGGGATGAGACAGTCATCCACAAGCCAAGGAGAGAGGCCTATAGAGAAATCAACCCTGTTAACACCTTCACCTGACTCCTCCACAGCCTGTCAGAAAGTCAATTTCTATAGTTTAAGCCACCCAGTCTGTGGACTTGGTTCTGCAGCCCCGGTCTACTTACTACAGTGACCTGACAGACTGTTAAAATAAATGCACCATCGATGATGAAATGGTTAAAGAATGAAGAGCTTTCAAAGGAACAGAAAGTCCTTTAAAAGTCCTGAGCGGTTTCAAAGTTTTCAGATATTAAAACCAGGAGATTTTAATCTCATTTAGAATTATCACGTTTATTTTCAGACTTTATTTCCTACCGTCTTCCTAAATATAACATAAAATACCTGGAACTTGACGCCATCAGTTTTCAAATCAATTGCAATAAGAGCTAGCCTCTGTTTTTAAAAAATTAGTTATGTTTTATTTTAATTTATTGATTTCAGATAGACAGAGGAAGGGAAAGGAAGGCAGGAAGAGAGACATCCATTTGTTGTTCCACTTATTTATGCATTCACTTGGTTGATTATTGTGTGTGCCCTGACCGGGGATCGAACCCACAACCTTCACATACTGGCAGGACGCTCGAACCAGAGCCAGCCTTTAATTGATGGGTTGCCATGTGCTAGGCACTGAGTGTTTTTCATGTGTTAGGCCAGTTTGATTTAACCTCACAACCACCCTCTGAGGAGGTGCGATTTTATCTCCTTCTCATAGATGAACGGAGGCAGTGAAGTGTTTTCCTCCTGAGTGGCTATCCTCCCGTAGGACAGACAGCTCATTAGTCACTTCCGGTCCTCTGCTCTTGGACAGTGTTGGTCCCCCTTTTGCATGAAGCAAGAGCTGTCATTTCTCTACCTCGCGGGGCCACTCTCCTCAGCATCTCTCCTCTGCTCATTTTTCAGGCTATCCTCGCCGTGGGTCAACTCACTTGCTTCCCTTATCATCCATCTCCTCATTACTCCAAAATTTATTTCTCCAACCCCGGCTGCCTCTTAGGTTTTACACCTGTCCTTCCAACTGCATGGCCCACAGACACCTCAACACAGTTGTCCACACAAGAAACCAAGGAATGATCTGTAACTTCTTTTCTATAGACGCCCACTCCCTCCCCTCAATGTTCTAGGGCAAGATGTAGAATGTGGCCATGGTGCCCCATGCCATTCAGAAATACAGAACTGCAGCCGAGACCGGTTTGGCTCAGTGGATAGAGCATCAGCCTGCGAACTGAAAGGTGCCAGGTTCGATTCTGGTCAAGGGCATGTGCTTTGGTTGTGGGCACATCCCTGGTGGGAAGTGTGGATAAGGCAGCTGATCGATGATTCTCTCTCATTGATGTTTCTAACTTTCTATCCCTCTCTCTTCCTCTCTGTGAAAATCAATAAAATATATTTTTTTAAAAGGAAAAAAAGAAATACAGAACTGCAGCACTGGGACATCAGGAATTCTCTTTTTTTTTGTTCAAAAATTCTTATTGATGTACCAGATGATGTTATTCAGGCCTAAAAATAGTTTTATCCTAATATCAAGTTGGCAGGGGGACACACAGCATCTCGGTGGAAGGGAGAGTGTGAAAGGATGAAGCAAGCTTGGACTCGAACGCTTCATGCCTGCACCCCTCCCACCGGCTCACATGCTCTCCAGCTCCCAGAGGACCGGCCCAACTGAGCAGGCGCCTTGCTGCACACTCTCCCAGCAGCGGACACTTTCTCTGTGGCTCCGCCTGGATTCCAGACTGGCCACGAAGGAGCATATTGGTTATTCTGAGTCATTTTAGATGCCCATCCAAGCAATAAAGACACCGAGTGTCTTTATTTTTTATGTTAAGAAAGAATTACTACCAATAATTCAAATTGCACCTCTGGCTAGAATTCATAAAGGGCCTTTCCAGCACTGGGGAAAGCTACTTTGGAAGTTGGCTTTAGATCTTAATAACCACACGGACAGGCCCTGGGCTTCATACTTAAGATGTTAACATCACCAGTCTTACCTGAATGATAAATATCTTGGGTTTTCCAACCAGGCCCTTACACTTGTCTCCTTTGAACAAGCCAGTCAGTGATTGAATTTCAATTTTGGCATCATATGCGTAGATGTGGTTGCCTTCGCCATGACTCAGGAAAACGCATACAAAGCAATCGGCATCTACATGGCAAGAGGTTGATGCTAGAAAAACAAAAAAACAAAACAAAATTCAGACAGAAATGAAGATCAGATGCTTATTATCTAAGTATTAAATTCAATTTACTAAAACTAGCATAAGTTACATACTTATGATTGCAGGAGGGAGGGAACTTGTTATTCTTAGAATAAATGAAACACAATTAAAAAAAATTTTTTTTTTAATCTTCACTTGAGGATAATTTTTCCATTGCTTTTTAGAGAAAGTGGAAAGGATAGAGAAAGACAGAAAGAAACACCGATGTGAGAGAGACATATCGATTGATTGCTTCTGGTATGCCCCCGACCAGGGCCAGGAGCCTGCAACTGAGGCATGTGCCCTTGACTGGAATTGAACCCCGGACCCTTCAGTCCACAGGCCGATGCTCTATCCACTGAGCCAAACTGGCTAGAACCACACATTATTTTAAAAATAAAAATTATTCACGTTCAAAATAATAGTCTGAACAGATTTTATTCGTTTTTCTAAAACACAGAACAATGACACAAAACAAAGGAAATATCATGGGGAACTCCCTTCAAGATCCAAGCCAATAAAAGTTACATGAGTCAGCAGAGTGCCTCTCAGAGCGGACTGGAAAGACCCAGAAACTACTTAATTCTCTTTGAGTTGCTGTACCTCCAATGAATACAGCACCTTTAATGTATGTCTACAGCACTTAGAGCTTCCAAAAGAGTATCAAGACACAATGTCCTCCAAAGCTTATGAACAAGCAAAGTAGAAAATCGGTAAGCAACCAGTTAAAACTAAAATGATATACAAAAGTCCTATTTAATAAAAGGGTTATATGCAGATTGACCATCATTCCAACACATAAGACAGCAGCCCCCATGTGGTCAAAGATCCTGCCCCCAGGTGGACACAAGATGGCCAGCAGGGAGGGCAGTTGAAAGGGACCAGTTCTGCAAGGGAGGAGAGTTGGGGGCGATCAACCTTGTAGGGGAGGGCAGTTAGGGGTGACCAGAGGGAAGTTGGGGGCAAACAGGTTAGCAGGGGAGCAGTTAGACCTCAATCAGACTGGCATGGGAGTGGTTAGGGGGTGATCCCACTGGCAGGCAGAAGTGGTTAAGGGCAATCAGGAAGGCAGGCAGGCCAGCAGTTGGGAGCCAGCAGTCCTGGGTTGAGAGAGGGATGTCTGACTGCACATTTAAACCCGATCCCGGTGGGTCTAAACGGACAATTGAACATCCCTCAAGGGGTCCCAGATTGGAGAGGGTGCAGGCTGGGCTGAGGGACACCCTCTACCCCGTGCACGAATTTCATGCTCCAGGCCTCTAGTAAAGTAATAAAATGATATGCAGGTTAAAGGTGAGCCCTGGTATGAAGATTAAAAAATAAAAAATAGAACTACCCTGTGATCCAGCGATACATCTGGGTATTTAAAGAAAATGAAAACAGAAACTTGAAAAACTATATGCATCTCCATGTTCATGCAGCATTACTTACAACTCAGATACGTAAATAACCTGTGTTCATTGATGGATGAATGGATAAAGAACTGTGATGTATCTATATACATATATAGACACACACACACACATTTAATACAAATATATAAAATAGATTATTCAGTCATTAAAAAAGAAAGAAATCTTACCATGCAGCAACATGGGTGGACATAGTATGCTAAGTGAAATAAGTAAGAGAAAGACAAATACCATATGATCTCATTTATATTTGGAATATAAAAGATGGTAACTAGACATTTTGAAATGTACACATATATCTAATCATTCTGTTGTACACCGGAAACTAACATAATGCTATACATCAATTATACCTAAAGAAAGAGCTCTGCGGAAAGTTTAAATTATATAAATATTATAATATTCCACTGGCCAATGATTTGAAAATCCATGGCATGCAGTGATTATTATGATAAAGATAAATTGTGAAAAAACCTATTACACACTGATATAGAATTAAGAGGTAAAGTATTTAAATCACCAGTATTTTGAAGCCAGTAGAAACTTAGAGTATGACCTTCAGGAGACAAGTAGGAAAAATCAGTGATGGGATGTAAATAAAAAATACTACATATATTCATATGAATTTAAGGGGAAAAAACCCCACAGTGGTAACAATGTGAACAATCAGTACTCTCTTGAAATTGGCAGTTAGTATAATTAAATATGTTACTGTTTATAGTATTGAGCAAGTTTCTATAAATCTGATTCTTATTTTTAATTAGGTTGGCAAAAAAGACATTTTCTTTTATATAAAAAATGCTTTTATCTTAAGGGACGGTTTTGACAAATCTTTAGGTAGCAATTATATTTTTGGTCCTGGAAAATAGGAGGAGCTCAGTAAATATTAGTGGACTGCCCAATAAATAGTATACCAACCGTTCTGTAAATCCATGGTGATTATTTTTAGCTTTGCTTAATTTTTTCAGGCTAATATAAGCAGTTATGTGAATATGTCAGCTAGTTGTTAAAAGTTGATTAGAAGTGTTCTTATTGGGTGGCCACGGGGAGGAAAACTTAACATTTTACATAAATTAAGAGATTTGGTAGATTTAATATGTTATTTTTAAGTATTCCCATGTTGCAGTTTGCTAATACTTCTTTAAAATTAATATAATGAAAATGGCCTTTGTAAGTAATCTAAAAATGCTACAACTCAGTTTATCACTGTATAGCATGCAACTTCTATATGTTTAAAGTTATTTAGCTTTATTTCTTTAAACTTAATAAATCATAAATATATATATATTTAATATATTCTATTGATTTTTTTACAGAGAGAAAGGAAGAAATATAGAGAGCTAGAAACGTCGATGAGAGAGAAACATCGACCAGCTGCCTCTTGCACACCCCCTACTGGGGATGTGCCCGCAACCCAGGTACATGCCCTTGACCGGAATCGAACCTGGGACCTTTCAGCCTGCAGATCGACGCTCTATCACTGAGCCAAACCGGTTTCGGCAATCATAAATATTAAAAACAAACAAACAAACAAAAAAAACAACTTAGAGTATGGAAGGAGTCAATTAAAACTCACTAGTGTTTGCATTTAAACTTTTAAATGCCAAATGAAAAGGCCATTTTATTCATTTTTAGAGTAACAGACTATAACTAATGGTATCCTGAAGATAAGCGTTGGAGGAATAATACTTTGCAAGGGTCTCTAAATCTGGTGGGTAACATCTACGCAGAGAAATGCAAAACCAAAAACCTATCAGCCATGCCAAATGTGAGATTTTTTACTACACAGTTAGTTATTTGGATCTGTCTTTACAAATAGGGTTATAAAGTACTCAGTGCCATCAGGGGAAGATGAATGGGAAAACTACTTACCCTCATGGATCTCAAGCAGTAGGTCTCCTGCTTTAAGGTTGTTAAAGCATTTCACTTCAAATCCTAGTTCTGAAAGCCTGGTGACAGAATCAACTGAATATTAGCTTATGAGCTACTCAAAGTTGTCACTTACCCTACTTATTTGAGGAAATTTACATACTCTTGATGACACAAACATTGTCTTTTCTTTCAGGGAAAAGAAAAATCAAATATGACAGTGACAGTTTTCCTGTGTCATCCTCGACAGGAAAGGATTTAGTAATGATAACAAAGTTAGAATATCGTGTCTACTCTGCAAATACAGGCGACCCTTGGACAACAAGGGTCTGAACTACAAGTGTCCACTTTCACAGATTTTTTTTTTTCTTCAATGAACACCTGTTCTGTTTCCGATCCTCCGTTGGGAGTTAGTGGATGCAGAGGGCCGACTGCAGGCATTGTCTATGCCATCCTACAGAAGGGACTGGGGCATCTGTTCATTGTGGTACTCACAGGGGTCCTAGATCCACTCCCCAGTGGATACTGAGGGACAACTTAGTTTTGGAGGAGTCAGAAGTTAGATGTGGATTTTTGGCTGTGCAGGGGCTCAGCACTCCTCACCCTGGAGTTTTAGGGCCAACTGTGTATCTGTAACAATGCAGAGCCTGCTCACCGGGAACAGAACAGGGTCAGGAAGGAAACTCGGGCAGGTTCTTAAAGGGGGCTGTGCCCTGCTGAGGCTCAGCTCAAAAACTCTTGCTCTGTTATTTCTTCAGTGCGGACGAGTTTCCATCAGCAGTTATCACTTAAGTCAGTGGTTCCCAACCTTTCTAATGCCGCGACCCTTTTTTTAAATATATAAAATATATTTTATTGATCTCTTACAGAGAGGAAGGGAGAGGGATAGAGAGCTAGAAACATCAACGAGAGAGAAACATCGGCCAGCAGCCTCCTGCACACCCCCCACCAGGGATGTGCCCGCATCCAATGCACATGCCTCTGACCGGAATCGAACCTGGGACTCTTGAGTCCGCAGGCCGACGCTCTATCCACTGAGCCAAACCGGTTTCGGCCCGCGACCCTTTAATGAATCGTAATGATGGTCTTAGGCGACCCAGCTAGCGGTTCTCAACCTGTCCCCTAAGACCATCGGAAAACACAGATATTTACATTACGACTCATTAACAGTAGCAAAATTACAGTTGTGAAGTAGCAACGAAAATAATTTTGTGGTTGGGGGTCACCACAGCTTGAGGAACTGTCTTTATTAAAGGGTCGCGGCATCAGAAAGGTTGGGAACCACTGACTTAAATAACCTCACCACCCTGACGTGCAGGTAAAACTGCTACCTGCGCGTGAGATTGTCTCTGTCTGCGTTGGTGCCTCGCCTGTCCGCCATCCCTAGGTGCCAGAGGAACCTCTCGTGGTTGAAGATTAAAGCAAGTCCTCTCCTCTTGTGGTTCATTTTGTACATTACTCCTGGATCGAACATTTCACTGTTAATGAGAAATGTAAAAAACAATCACTTTAGGTTTTTTTGTTTTTAATATTTTATTGATTTTTCACAGAGAGGAAGAGAGAGCTAGAAACATCGATGAGAGAGAATCATCAACCAGCTGCCTCATGCACACCCCTTACTGAGGATGTGCCTGCAACAAAGGCACATGCCCTTGACCAGACTCGAACCTGGGACTTTTCAGTCCGCAGACTGACACTCTATCCCGAGCCAAACCGGTTTCGGCAATCACTTTAGGTTTTATTAAATAGTGAGCTCCTCCGAGCCCAAGGGCCACGTGGAGTGCGGACAGAGGTCTGCCCTTTGCTCCTCCGCAGACTGACCGCCCCTGGAGCGCACTGAAGCCCTCAGGGCCACGCCAGCAAGGCCAGCCCTGAAACATTTCTATTTACCAACAGGTAAACAGCGGCCACTGTGACACCCACCCACCATTCATCTACATGGGTGTCTCCCCCCGGGGTCTCCAGGATCCAGCAACCAAGGACAGTGGCCTGGCCGAGCCACACAACTCTTTAATATTCCAAACATCACGCTAAGTCATTTCACAACCAGGGGCAGGCACTAGCCTGCATATTACCTACGAATGAACTCTTCCAACGTGAAACCTGCCCTACTCAGCTCTCCCTTCCATTTCCCAGCCCCTTTCCTGTTTTGATTGTTCCAGTCTGACCAAGACCACCACAGGAAGAGACCCTTATGAGAAAAGACAATATTTTTTTTTACCTCGTGCAGAAGGCATCTGTTTCTGTCATGTTTTGCATCTCGCCTATTAAAACAAAAGTTGATTTTTGAGAATTTACTTTCTGACTTTTGGCAGCAAAGCAGCAGGAAATCCCATCTGGATGCTCTTGACCCCCACACACTAAGCGCATATGAAATGAAGGAAAACTGGTGCATAATAAGCAAATGAACTATACACCGATGGCTTAATTCTTCCTCACACCCAACTCTCAGCTGCAAAGTTGCAAAGAATATTTCATGCAGAGAAGTGGAGAAAATATGCAAACGAATTCATTGTAACATACGCCTAGAATTGACAGTCCTTTGATTATGGGACTCAACAGAAATAGGAAATTGCTTTGTCTATGTCTCTCGTTGTTAATTCTCACTGGAGGAGTGGGAGAGAGAGGGAAAGACAAGGGAGAAACATCGACGTTCGATTGGTTGCCCTGGCCTGCGACTAAGGTAGATGCCCTTGACTAGAATCGAACTGGGGCCAAAGCTCTATCCACTGAGCCAAAGTGGCTAAGTGTCCCTGACTATATCTTTTTTTATTGATTGATTTTAGAGAGAGAAGGGAGGGAGTGGGGGAGAGAGGGAAGGAGAGGAGAGGGAGAGCTGGAGAAAGGGAAGGAGGGAGAGGAGGGAGACGGGGAGAGAAGGGAGGGGAGAGAGGGGAACGGTTTGTTGTCCCCCTTGTGCACGCACTCATTGGCTGATTCTTGCCGGTGCCCGGACCGGGATCAAACCCGCAGCCTGAGCGGACTGGGGCGGCGCTCTGAGCGCCGGAGCGCCGGGCCGGGGCCTGAAGTGGCTGTGTTTTACTGTAAACGTCCTTCCACTGTCACTGATGCGAGCACTTCTTGAACTTTTCTTTGTGAGGAAACAACACCCGACCCAACCTCCAAAGCCAACTTCCCGTGACCAGGCGCCGGGGATGCCCGGACCCCGCTGACCGGCCAGTGCCCCGGCGCCCCCGGCGCCCGAGTGCCCGCCCGGCGCCCCCGGAGCCCCCAGGACCCGCGCTGCGCTGCTGCCCCCGGAGCCCAGCTCCCCTCCAGGACCCGCGCTCCTCCCGCCCCGGGCACCCCACCTGCAGGCCCGGCCTCCCGGGGCCCGGGCGCCGAGCTCGCCGCCACCGTAGCGTCCACCTCCAGCGCAGCGGCCATGGCCCCGGCCCGCGTCTCTGCTCCCCAGAGCGGGTCCCGCTTCCTATAGCCGCTCCGCAGCGCCGCCCCCTCTCCGTCCCCGCCCCGGCCGGAGCCGGGGTGAAGCTTCTTCCTTCCAGCGGGGCTGGGGGTGGGAGGGGTTAGGCGGGGGGCGCGGCGCCTCGGGCCGGGGCGGACGTGCGGGCTGAGCCGCCGGCGCCTGCGGGGACGGACCGGCACTGGGACGTGTCAACTGGGAGCGTCAGGTCTCCTGCGGCAACCCTTCCCGGAAGGCTGGCTCTCCCTGACTCGGTCAAGGTGAAGAATGTTGTCTGCGCTTTTCAGGTTGTGAGCCCTGAGGGCTCATAAGGGCTCCAGGTGGCTAACTTGGGGGTGGGGGTGGTTGTGGAGGAGCAGAGCCTGGCCGCCATTTCTGCACCGCGGCCCCTCCTGCCTTAGGCACTTGGTGAGGAGCAGCTGAGCCCCTGCACCGAGCTGCCCGCCAGCAGCGTGTCTGCCTTTTAAGAGGAGACCCGGGACCCCCCCTTTAACCCAGCAGCTTCCCCGTCCAATCAGAGCTGCGCGCAGCCCCGGCCAATCAGGGGCCCGGGTGGGGAAGGCCGGCCAATCAGGGGCCCGGGTGGGGAAGGCCGGCCAATCAGGGGCCCGGGTGGGGAAGGCCGGCCAATCAGGGGCCCGGGTGGGGAAGGCCGGCCAATCAGGGGCCCGGGTGGGGAAGGCTGTACACGTAAGCTGGTGCCCAGGGGGAGCGCCCTTCCCATCCGAGACCGAAGACAGTTGCCCCTGGAGGCCCTGCTGCCATCTCCCAGCTGTCTTCACAGCCAATCTAACGGTTTCGTGTTTGCACGAGTTTCCTCCTTTACCGCACCCCAAATTGGGGATTGAATTGGTGGTGCTGACCACGGGATGACAACGTGGAGTTCTTTTCCCAGGGAGTGAGTTACAGGATTTCTAAGCCTGGCTTTCTTGTGTGTAGAGCTTGTGAAAAGTTGACCTAAGTGGAGTCATTTTAAAACAGAGCCAGAGCAGCCATTCCAGATGAGCTGCTTGTGTGTCTTGCTCCTAGAACCTTTGCAGAGTTTGAACGGGGCAAAATAACATTTGGAATGGGCCAAGCAACACTCTTTCAAACCACCGTACAGCTAATGGGAAAGCAGATATTCTGCCCATGAGGACTGATGATTATGGACATTTTAAAAAATTCTTAACCAGTGATACAGTGAGCTATAATCTTTTTGCTGGTGGATGTTGATGAAAATAGTGAATCACAGTAAAGTGAAATGCAATGAAGTATGCTTATGTAGCTGAAGAGTAAGACAGCTTGATGACACCAATAGAAAGTCCTTCCTTCTATTCATATAATTATTTCTCTTCCTTTTGTCATAAAAAAGCCATTGCCATCACCCTGACATTGGAACACAATTTGGGTTTTTGCCATAATTCTATGATTGTAATTCTGTGGTCTCAAATAAATACTTGTTGCCTCTCGCTAAAATAATTTATTTGGGAAAAATAAAGAATTGCAACCTGATGCCTGCAGACAATGGTGAGCCACATGCACACACTGGACTGGACCAAGATGGAGAAGGAACTTAAGGGAAGGGACGCTAAGGGGAGTCGCGGTTCCACCCATAGAGCTCTGTAGAAACAGGGTCTGGAGGTGACTCAGAGCACACAACTCCTCCTAGAAAGCCCTAGCTCCTCCCTCCAGATTGATTGTGTCCAAGTTAAATCTCTGTCATAACTATTTTTTAAATTTCTTTATTGGTTATGGTGTCACATAGTTGTCCTCATCCCCCCATTCCCATCCCAAACCCTTCCCCATATATGCCCACCCCCCGTTGTCCATGGCCACTGTTTAGGCTTATATGCATGCACACAAGACCTTTGGTTGATCTCTCCCCTTTGCCTCCACCCTCCCCTACCTTCCCTCTGAGGCCTGACAGTCTGATCACTGCTTCTCTGCCTCCAGGTCTGTTTCTGTTCATCAATTTATGTTGTTCATTATTTCCCCTAGATGTGTTAGATCATGTGATACAAGGAATTCCCTTATAAGGACCGAAACTGAGACAAGCCATAATGGTTATGCTGCGAGGCAAATGAATCAGTCTGTAGTGTTCCTTTCTGGGCCAACCGTTCTTTTGAGTCCCCATTTCAATGTCAAACAGTTCCTTATGTGTACATGTCAGCCACGGTATTTTACATCTGGTTGGTTGCCATAATTTTTATCAAAGCTAATTTGGGGACGGAATCATGTAGAAATCGGGAGCCTGGACTTTGGGGTCAGGGGGAAAGTCTATAAATTATGGTTTTTCTTGAGCCAAAGCATATTGTCCTCACTCATAAAATGCTGTCCAGTGTGCAAATCAGTGTGATGAGGCGCTCAGTGTTGCCTTTACTTGAGCTCTTCCTTGGGTGGTGGCTGTTGTGTAAATTGCTTCCATTAACTCTGACGAAGCCCTAGCTGGTTTGGCTCAGTGGATAGAACGCTGGCCTGCGGACTGAAGGGTCCCAGGTCTGATTCCAGTCAAGGGCACATGCCTGAGTTGTGGGCTCCATCCCAAATAGGGGACGTGTAGGGGGCAGGTGATCAATGATTCTCTCTCTCACATTGATGTTTCTCTCTCTCTCTTCCTCTCCCTTCTCTGAAATCAACAAAATAAAATTTAAAAAATAAAATAAAAAAGAGTAGTGGGTGAAAAAGTGGCCTTATCTTTTGTACCTTCTCCGGGTGGTGTATTTCTCTGACTTTCCAAGTAGTTTGCCTTAACAACAGTGGCCACAGACTACCCATAAGATACAGACGGCCTGGCATTCTGGGCTCAGCAAGTCAACAGCCAGGGGTAAGCAAAGAGCATGGAGGACACAGCTGAACTTTCCCAGCAGCTGAAGAGCTGTCTACACTCGCATCTTCAGAGACACTGGAGGTTGAGGGATTTGCTCTTAAATGTCTGTTAATAATTCTTCATGTAAATGCGAGATCTATAAAAGACAGTTCTTTGTAAGTTGCTTTTCCACCCCTTTGACCCCGACATTAGACTTGAAAAAACAAACACAACAATACCAAGAACAATTTTTATTAAGACAGCTATTAGTGAAAGGTTACTGCCTTTTCAAAATATCCCAGAATCTACTATGAGGAGCAAGCTAGGGAATAAACATCAAAGCATAACAGCATATAATGCTCTGATGTGTATGTTAAACAACTTTTTCATTTACCTCATTAAATTCATCTTTTCTCCAATTTAGGCAAAGATTATAACAAAATGTGATATTTGTCATATGAATGGTTCATAACATGGGAGTGGCCGTGCTTCTGAATTCTGTTCACGTCATCTCCTAGGCACATTACATAATACCTACATATTCTGGTTTTGCTCCTTAAGAGGTCACCAGCTAATGGTTCCAATTTTATAAGAGAAATAGACATGGAAATTTTGTCTTTGAAATTAGAATTGTCATTAATAGAAGTGTTACTTATTCATATGCTCAATGGTCTACAGAAAAACAGCATATTTTGTATTAATTAAAATAGAGAAAAAAATAAAGTCAGATCCTTCCAGGCATAAATGTATATTTAAATGTTTACAGTAAACAAATACACCTCTGAGTGAAGGTCTCTCCATATTTCCAAATAATGCTGAACATACCTTATGAATTTTACATTTGACCTCATTTTGGGGGTAAACGCGGTTGTGAAAACCAAGTTACAGAACTTTCTTTAAAAAACAAAACAAAAAACAACTCACCCCTTAACACGCACCTCTCTCCAACACTGGTCAACACAGCCTGGCACACTACGGCAGTGCCATCCAGGAACACAGCCTCCCCTTTTCTCTTTGGTTTGAAGTTTTAATGTCAAAATAGGGTCTTACAATAACCTTGTCACAAAAATAAGGCACCTTGGTGCTGTAAAAACACTAGTTCTTTGCCGAAGGTTATTATGTGCTTTCATCCTCATCTGCCGTCTCCTGTCAGCATCTTCTTTAAAGATCCGTCTTTTCTTCATAGCGACACCAACACGAGGCCCGTTGGCTGTCCAGGTACGGCTTACAGCCCAGATGTATCACACTGTCAAACAAGAGCTCCACTGTGGTTTCACAGGCTGCAAGGCAAGAAAGTGCCATGACTGTGGGGCACCTGCAAAGGATCGCTCTCTTGTCATCCATATCACAGTGTCCAGCACAGTGTCAAGCATGTCCTCTGTGGGCACTTAGGCGTATGCTCATGAAAATCTCCCCAGACCCTCGGAACTGGTAACATATACTGGTATCTTCATACACAAAGACTGTGTCAGCCTCTTTACCATGCACCAACTTGTTGTTTGCATGCAAACAGTCAACCCAATTTTCTGTGCTAGACAAACGAGTCTCTTGCAATAGCACTGAACAATTAGTTCAACACTTTTGGTTTTTCCTTATTTATTACTTTACTTATGCGTTTTTGTTATACCCGAGGATATTTTTTCACTGATTTTTAGAGAAAGAGTGGAAGGGAGGAGGAGAGATACACAGAGAGAAACATCAATGTGGGAGAGACACATCAATTGATTGCCTCCCACACGTGCCCTGCAACTGAGGTATGTGCCCTTGACCGGAATTGAACTCAAGACCCTTCAGCCTGCAGGCTGACTCTCTAACCATTGAGAAACCAACTAGGGCTATTTATTATTATTTTTTATCCTCACCTGAGGATATGTTTATTATTTTCAAAGAGAAAGGGAGAAACATCGATATGAGAGAAAAACATTGATTGGTTGCCTCCTGAACGAGTCCCCACTAGAGATCAAAACCCGAAACCTAGGTATGTGCCCTGACCTGGAATCGAACCCTTAAACTTTGGTGTACACAGGATGATGCTCCAGCCAACTGAGCCACCTAGTCAGGGCTCATTTTCCTTTCATCAGAAAAATATCACTGTTAGAGATGCCTGATAGCATTCTTAAGTTTGCATTTCAAGGAAAGCTTTTAAAGTGCAGAAAAAAATAAAGGTAAAAAAAAAAAAGAGAAACCTCAAAACATTTCCTTCTAGCCAATGGCAGCTAAAAACTGATCACACATCATTTAAGATGCTTAAAATGAATGGACCTAAGTTTTTTTTCTTTGACCAATATTCAAATCTAGCTTGGAAGGGGAGACATAGGAATCAAAGGTGTTTTTCTTCTGGTAGGGTTAGAAACATTTTTTTAAAACTATAAAAATGATAATAGATTTCCTTAGGAACACCCAGATGATATTATCCTAATATACTTATAACACAGAGTGGCTTTCAGTTGTCCAAATACTTCCAGTTTTAAATGTTCACATTAAGAAAATTTTCATTACAAAATCTTGACATTATCAAAGTTCCGCAAAAGACTGTGCCATTAAGAAACACAACCAACCACAGATTCTGATTATTAAATAAAAGATTGCAAGTAATTTGGTTTCTTCATTTAGCTACGTTAGTATGAGCTCAGATCAGGACACAGGAAATACATCCACCTGTGCTTCAGCTGTACAAGTTTAACTCAGCCGAAAGTATGTAAGTGATTCAGAGGCTGTGAATTCAAGTTCACTTCCTTAATAATTAGTAGGATTTCAGAGTCAGATCTATGAGGCTACGTTGGGAATACTGTAGTAGACGGAACACAAGGTGTAGAGTCAGAAGCATGTAACTTGGGGCAAGTTACTTCTTTCTGAACCTCAGTTTCCTTCCTTGAAACTGGGTAAAACTGACCTACTTTTGGGCTTTTGTAAACATCAGTAAAAACATGTCAAAAGTATCTAGCACCGTCTGTTATGCAAAGTGTCTAAAAATTTATTTTCTTTTGTGCCCCTTCTCATTGCCCTTCTTTGTTCTCAGTGTGTGGTACATTCTCTGGCTTCACAGTAAAGAAATCTTGTAACTGATATTTACAGTGATGTGTATTTCACAAATGTCTCATGTTACCCTCATGACAACTCTTTGAGATGGATGTTACCATTCTCATTTATAAATGAGAGAGGGAAACACCTTTTTCTTAGCTGACTTTTGCCTTGTATCCCTTCACTGTAATAATCATTACCATAAGTACAATTATATGCTGAATCCTGATCCTCCTCGCAAATCACTGAACCTGGGGTTGGTTTGGAGGATCCTCCTGACAGATACATATGAAGAGACAAGAATTAAGACTCAAATCTTCTAGAACTTTCTACGCTAAATCCAATCCTACTCTTAAAAATTATATATATATATATATATATATATATATACACACACACACACACACACACACACACACACACACACACACACATACTTTTTACATTGATTTCAGAGAGGAAGGGAGATGGAGAGAGAGATGGAAAGATCATGATGAGAGAGAATCATTGATCAGCCAGCAACCCGGGCATGTGCCCTGACTGGGAATCAAACCATGACCTCCTGGTTCATAGGTTGATGCTCAACCACGGAGCCATGCCAGGTAGACCCAATTCTACTCCTCTTAATTCAATGGGTCCAGAGTTTGCAAGATCTTGCATGAATTCTTCTCTGCCTCACAGTCCCTCCTCCCAAGGTTCCCCAACTCTTTTTGCTTCCATGGCTATCAATCATGTCTGACTACAAAACCACTGCATTCTCATCCCAGAAAACTGAAGGGGCTGAGTTACGATAGAGAACGTAATGTAGAGGGGAAGGTTTCTATTGGTAAATCCTGTACTGAAACACGAAGCATTAATAGAACCTGGCAAACTGCACCGGCCCCTGAGGCGCCAGATCATCCTCACCCTGGACGTGCTGCGCTAGTCCCAGTGTCTTCTGCACCTCGCGGCAGATCTTGGAGAGGCAGTGCTGGAACGCCTCATCGCAGTCGTTCTTGCTTTCGCCACAGGTCTCGTAGCACCGGTCGTGGTGGTTGCAGCACTTTGTCAGGGAAGGGATGCCAATATTAAGCTGAAAGAGGCATGTGGATGGATTATTACGGATGAAATTCAAAACAACTCTGCTGAAGTTCTGCATTCAACTATGAAAGAGGAACCAGTGACAATGACTGCTGTGTAATTTCTAAATCTATTTCTGTGTACAAATGTTTTCTATTTTGTGTATCTCTCTCTGACTCTCACCGCACCCACCCACGTTACTCCGCAGTCTTCCTCTCAGCCCTGCCTTAAAGCTTCCTATTAGGCAATGTTAGAATAGTCACAGATACCTGTGGTAACAAACACATCTTCCAATTGTCCAAAGCACAAAACATAGTTTTAAAACATAAAAGTAAAGCAAAGAGCATTAAAAGTGTTCTCCAGGGACTTGGCAAGTCTGACTTTTAGATATTCCAAAGTGTTTTGTACCTCCTCTCCCAATAATATGTATTAGTACTTTATATGAAATGTCCTTGAAAAAATTTTAAGTCCTACAACTCAAATTTTGTTTGTTCTTTTGAGGTTTAATCTTCCATTGTTCATCCAATCCCTAAAAATATTGCTTCTCTGCATCTATAATTTATCTTTAATTATTTAAAATTAATTTATATGCAAAATCTTTGTGTCTACGAATCCACTCTCAGAAACATTTTCCCCCATTACACTTGGCTCAGATCCAGCTTCCCCTACTACAAGCACACAACTATCTCACTTAGCCTGGTTCTAATACAGAAAATATTATGTCTTATCTATACTTTTTCATCTTGAGTAGTCTTACTTCTATATTAAACCACATTTATACATGAGGAAATATCATTTAAATGGTATTAACATCTCCAAAGTTTAAAAATAAAACATGAATTTTACTACATTTAGTTTTGTTAGGACTTAAATGTGTTTTTAGCTATAAAAGAATATAGTAAACCTGATCACTACTACAACAGGCAAAATTACTTGTGAACCTGAGAACACACTGATAGTCTTGCATTATTAAGAGTATTACAGAGCCTATCATAAAACTTATCAAATAAAAAATAATATTTACTTGAACACCAAATAGTGGAGAGCCACATCCATTCGGCGGGGAAGGTTTAAAACCATAACGTGGGACGGGCTTAGATCCTAGAAAATATAAAGGGTATCATAATTAATTTTCAAATATGATAGAAAATACATACACAAAAAAGTCTACAATGTGTTAAGAGTAGTTTTGGGAACATTTACTATTTGGATGCTGACATAGTATGTCTTTATTCTGATGAGCTTGAGAATGCTAATTTGTTTGAGAAATTTGAAATATGTTTTTATTGACTTTAGAGAAAGAGGGAGAGGAATAGAGAAATTGAAACATAGATGAGCGAGAAACATCAATCAGATGCCTTCTGCATGCCCCCTACTAGGGATCGAGCCTGCAAGATGGGCATGTGCCCTGACCAGGAATTGAACTGGTGACTCTTGGTTCATGGGTTGATGCTCAACCACTGAGCCACACTAGACAGGCTTGAGAATTTTTATAAGAGTTTATTTGAAGTCCTAGCCAGTTTTGCTCAGTGGATAGAGCATTGGCCTGCAGACTGAAGGATCCCAGATTTGATTCCAGTCAAGGGCACATGCCTGGATTGCAGGCTTGGTCCAACATACAGGAGGCAGCCAATCAATGATTCCTTCTCATTAGTGATGTTTCTCTCTCTCTTCCTCTCCCTTCCTCTTTGAAATCAATAAAAATATATTAAAAAAAAAAAAAAAGAGTTTATTTGGAGAAACCAAGATGGAGGCATAGGTAACCACCTAACTGCAGCCTCACACAACAATTTCAAAAAATACAACTAAAATATAAAGTGGACATTATCCAGAACTATAGAAAAGTTGACTGACTGGAAATTCCACAACAAGAAGGAAAGAGAAAACCAGAAGGAAAATCAGAGGAGCTGTAAAAGCCTAAGGTACGGAGGCATGTTGCCTGTGCGGAGAAGACGAAGCCGGAGAGGAGGGCGGCTGAGTGCCTGGCTGGCGTTCCCTAGCGGGAAGGAGATAAAAGCTCCGGACTGTGCTGAAAACCCAGTTCCGACAGCACTGAACCCCAGTTCTTGGCGAGACCCTGGGGCCCCAAGTCATCTAGAGGGAATCTGGACTGTAAGGCGGAAGCTCAGGGGAGCGGCGAAAGTAAGTCCCCGAGTCGCGCACATTTCGCACAGAGGACAGACTGTTGATTGAGCCGCTGGATTGCCCTAGTGGGAAGGAGACATAAGCTCCGGACTGCTCTTAACTCCACTTCCAACTGCACTGAACCCCAGTTGTGGGCTCGTTGGGGGAGAGACTAGACTGTCTGGTAGCAGGTGAAACTCTAGGGCACCTTTCTCTCAGAGGTGCTTGCAGCGAGTACCAAAGGACACTGAGGAACACTGAGACTCAGGAACCTCATAGGGCAGGGCTAACCGGAAGCCAAGGCTGTAGTCTCCACCCTGAAACTCTGCCCCATCCAAGCTGAGCACAGAGGCTCTTGCAGTTTTCCAAGTCTAATCAAATAAGGCTGTCTCCTGGCTTAGATACAGCTGATCCTCCCACCCTACCAACTCAGGGAAGCAGCAAAAATACCGAGACAAGGAAACAGATCACAAACGAAAGAAATGGAGGACAAAAAGCGACTGGCTTTAGAGTTCAAAACCACACTTATAAGGTTTTTCAAGAATCTCCTAGAAAAGGCCGATAAAATAAACAAGACATATGAAGATATGAAAAGGAATCAAATAGAAATAATAAAGGATCAACTAGAAATAAAGAATACATTCTCTGAAATAAAAATATATTACAAAGAGTCCTAAAAACAGAATGGAAGATCGCAAGAATCAAGTCAAAGATTTGGAACACAAAGAGCCAGAGGACACTCCACCGAAGAAACAAGAAGAGAAGAGAATCCAGAAAGTAGAAGATAGTGTAAGAAACCCCTGGGACAACTTCAAGCAAACCAACATCAGAAGTATGGGCGACCCGAAGATGAGAGAGAGCAAGATACCGAAAACATACTGAAAGAAATAGTGACAGAAAACTTCTCCCACCTGGTGAAAGAAATAGTCTTACAAGTCCAGGAAGCGCACAGAACTCCAAACAAAAGGAATCCAAAGAGGACCACACCAAGACACATCATAATTAAAATTCCAAGAGCAAAAGACAAAGAGAGAATATTAAAAGCAGCAAGAGAAAAGCAGGTAGTGACCTATAAAGGAGCACCCATATGATTGTCAGCTGATTTCTCAACAGAAACCATGCAGGCCAGACGGGAATGGCAAGAAATATTCAAGGTTATGAATAATAAGAACCTACAGCCAAAAATACTCTACCCAGCAAAGCTATCACTCAGAATCGAAGGCCAGATAAAGAACTTCACAAATAAAAAAAAAGCGCAAGGAGTTCATCACCACCAAACCAGAATTATATGAATTGCTGAAGGGGGTTCTTTAGGAAGAGGAAGAAAATAAAGATAAAAATTATGAACAACAAATATGTACCGGTAACTATCAACAAGTGAATCTAAAAACCAAGGGAATTAAAAAACCTGATGAACAATATTAACTGGTGAATATAATAGAATCAGAGGTATGGAAGGGGAGTGGACTGACAATTCTGGGGAAAAGAGGAGAGGGGGGTGTGGGAAGAGACTGAACATAAACTGTGCACCTATGGATGAGGACAGTGGGGGGTGGGGAAAGGACAGAGGGTGGGGTGGGAACCTGGTGGAAGGGAAAAAAATGAGGAACTTTTGTAATAATATGATCAATAAAGATTTATTTTTTTTTAAAAAAAGAGTTTATTTGAGCCAAACTGATTATATATGCCAGGGAACAAGATCTCAAATGTTCCACTCTATTCTACCTAATTATTTTTATTTCTCCTATAGTGAAATATGTACAAATGTATACTCATACACATTTGTGGTAGTTCACAGAATTTAATTATATTGGTAAACCTATAACATACAAAACATACAAAAGCTTATTCTGGATTTCTGGATATTTCAGAGGTTATTTGCCAGATTGAGTCCACATGTATGAAAGAAATCCACCCTATTTTCCTGAATATTCTAACATAAATATTTAATCCTCATTTTAGAGAGAGCGAGAGAGCAAGAGAGAGAGAGAGAGAGAGAGAGAGAGAGAGACATATCAGTGTGCAAGGGAACATGGAACATTTGCCTCCCACATGCACCCTGACCTGGGATCAAACCCAGAACGTGAGTATGTGCCCTGCCTGAGGATTGAACCCATGACCTTTTGGTGTACAGAACGCTGGAACTAACTGAGCCAAACCTGTACAATTTAGAACTTATGAATTGTCACCCTAGCCAGTTTTGCTCAGTGGATAGAGTGTTGGCCTGCTGCCTGAAGGCTCTTGAGTTCAATTTTGGTCAAAGGCACATATACCTCGATCCCTGACTCTGGATGGGATGTGTGCAGGAGGCAACCAATGGAAGTGTCTCTCTCACATCAATGTCTCTGACTTTCCCTTCCAGTCTCTCTAAAAATGGAAATATATCCTTGGGTGAGGATTAACAAAAACAAAAAATAAAACACATGAATTGTTTGTTCCTGGACTTTTCCATTTAATATTATCAGACAACAGTTGATTGAGAAAGTGAAGCTGCAGATAAAGTGGTGGTGGTGGGGGGTCTACTCTACCTTAATATAAGACCTTTATACCATTACTAGAGGCCCAGTGCATGGATTTGTGCACTGGTAGGGCCCCCCAGCCTTGCCTGCAGACATTGCCAGAGGGGTCAGGTGTCCTGGATTGTAAGAGGGTGCAGGTCAGGCCAAGGGACCCCACTGGTGCACGATTGGGGCTGGAGAGGGACCTCGGGAGGGCTCCAGGGCATGTCTGGCCCATCTCGCCCAGTCCTGATTGGCTGGACCCCAACAGCAAGCTAACCTACCAATCAGAGCGCCTGCCCCCTGATGGTCAGTGTACATCATAGCTACTGGTTGAACGTTTGAATATTAGGCTTTTACTATATAGCACTAGTGACCTAGTGCACAGATTCGTGCACACTGAAAGGAAATTAATTAAAAGGTGGCTGGTGGGGCAGGACTGGGCAAATCGGGCTGGACACACCCTGGAGCCAACCTCCCGTGGAGTGGTGCTGTGGTGCTGTGGCTTGAAAGGCATCTGTGGAGTGAGCAGAGTCTCAGTCTCACCTGAGAACATGCTTTTACTCATTTTAGAGAGAGGGGGAGAGAGAAACATCAGTGTGCAAGGAAACATGGGACATTTGCCATGGGTGGAGTCCCTTGGGCTGGCCTGTGGGGATCAGGCTGAAACTGGTTCTCTGACATCCCCCGAGGGGTCCTGGAGTGGGAGAGGGTGCTCTGCGAAGTTGCTGTCGTACAGGGTGTGGAACGTGAACGCAAGTGTGCAGTAAACCAGATTCGGGCTCAGTGCCCCAGCAACAACACATCAGGGCCGAAGGTGGACTTGTGTGGCCCCATGAGGAACTGGGCTCCCTCCTCTCTGGTTTCAGGGTGCATCACCCAAGAACTGCCTCTGCCATGTCATTGCAGCTCAGTGTTAAGAAGCAGCTGATCGGCAGCTCAGCAGCTCAGCAGCTCTTGCACTGAGCATCTGCCCCCTGGTGACCAGTGCACATCATAGTGACCAGTCAGACAGAGGGAGGGGCACTTAGCATATTAGCCTTTTATATATATATCCTTACAGGACTATACACTTTAGCCCAGACTCAGGCCAATCATTTCACAAACATACTCCTTTGCCATCTAAGGAAAAAGGTCAGAAATAAACTTGGTGAACTATATTACTCCAGTTATATTCTCCTAATAGTACCAATGGTTCAGTACCAAAGTGAAAGGTGACATTATCATCCATCTTAAACTTTCTAAGGTATTTTAGAAATACCTCTCCTCTTATAACATAGAAATCATTTCCATGAACCAAACAGTCACCTACTTTCTCTTTGAATGTTTCCCACCAGCCTCCTACAGTAGCAAGAAATAGCCTGTTCCATTGTGGAATGGCGCTGCTACATTCTGTTTCCTTGTAAATTCTACCTGTGAGCAATCCTCTGCCTCTTGGAGAGCACAAAGCAAGCCAATTCCCCATTTCACATGGCAATA